GTTTTATCTGATCCATCGTATTTTTCATCTCCAGTATTTGTTTGATTCTTCTTTATAGTTTCAATCTCTTTTGTGAAGTAACTCCAGAATTCGTTGGCTTGTTTCTCTATCTTTCCCTCTACCTCATTGAGTTTTTTGATGATAGCTACTCTGAACTCATTTTCACTTGGTTTACCTATTTCCAAGTCCTCAGGACTTAATTCTGTGTTTTTATTGTTTTCCTTCTGGTCTGGAGCTTTTATAAATTGCTGGACGGTAGAGGAGCGGTTTTTGCACATGATGGTAGAATTCAGTTGCAGTTACAGCCTGTCGCCCCTAGATAGGGGTTGAGAGCCATGTGTTCTGAGCTCTCCGCCTTCAGGCAAGATGGTGGCACCCAGCGCAGGTTGGGGAGGAGGGGCTCTTTCTCTTGCGCACCAATCTGGATTCCAATGCAATCAGCTCTCGTTCTCTGGTCTCCTGGGGCCTTGGTTTGATGGGGTCCCCACGCACGGAAGCTTTCTGCCATCAGTGGGTTTCCACTGTACCAGCGGCGGGAGTCCTGGACGATGCCCGGTGGCATGGCCCCTCCCCTGCTCCTTCCCTCACCCGCGGCAGTGATCCCAGTCTCTAGGGGAGAGAGTGAAGTTCTCTCTTACCCCGTTCCAGCTCCTCCGAGGCCAGCTGCACCCTCTCTGTCCTCCATGGTCTTGTTTCTGTAGTTCTCTGACAGTCTGGCGTTAAGATTATTGGCTGAAATTCACTTTTTCCTATCCTTTGTTGTGGTGTGGAGGGGAGACAGTCCTGGGTCAGTTCAACCCGCCATTTTGCTCCGCCCCTCTCTCCAGTGTCCTCACTTTAATAATGAGGTTATGGTAGTATAATACCATAGAATCTAAGCTGACTAAGGAGAGGAGGAAATTATGTAAGATCAGCGATGCAAATTGAAAGTTAGTAGACTCAGAGCTTCTTGATATTTAGGACCTTTTCTTTCCTGTCTTTATATCCTCAGGGTCTAGCGTAGTGCCCAGCACATAGTAAATACTCATTTCATGTTTGTCGTGGATTGAATTGTTGAATCCATGAGTGGGCCATTCCTTTGGAGGTGGCTGTATTTGTTTGGAAGTTTTTTGTTTTTGTTTTTGTTTTGCAGGGGAAGATTCACCCCGAGTTAACATCTGTTGCCAGTTTTCCTCCTTTTTTCTTACTTTTTCCTACCTCAGAGCCCCAGTACATAGTTGTGTATAGTTGTAGCTACTTCTGTGTGAGCCGCCGCTACAGCATGGCTATTGAAGACAAGTGCTGTGGTTCCATGCCCAGGAACTGAACCTGGGCCGCCAAAGAGGAGCATGCCAAACTTTAACTGTTAGGCCATCAGGGCTGGCTCTTGTTTGGAAGTTTTTAATTATATTGAGCAGAGACCTAATTTCCTTTAACTTCTAAATAGTAAACTTTAGTATGCCTTTTGACACCACACAGATCATTATAATCTCTTTTCCATGTAGCTGTTGTTCAGATATTTTGAAAGCAACTGTTGGGTCTCTTCCAGTCTCCTCCAGGCCAACCACCCACATTTTTTTCAGTGGTCATTCATGTGACTTTGCTTTGTGTTTCTTTCCATCCAGGTTATATTCCCTAACACACTCCAGTTTATTTATATTCTTCTTAAAATAGTCTTTTTAGTACTGAACTTTAAATTCCAGGTCTGGCGTGTGTAACCAATATAAAGTAGAACAGAACATTAATGTGTGTTCTAGATTTAAGAAGGGTTTATGTTTTCTACGAGGCTCTTCAGGTATTTCTGGCGTCAGGTGTCTAAAGCAGTGTGATGAGTAGGGGAGATCTTTTGCAGCTGCCTTGAGACTTGGGCTTAATCTTAGCTCTGGATCAAAGCATGTGTGTGTTTCTTATGTGCTCTGAATTTCCTCATCACCACGTGTTACCTGGTAAAGAGCATGGGCAGATTCTGCTCCTATAGAAGCATCTTTTTTTATATTTGGTTCAGTTGCCATGACCATCCTTAGTTAACTTCCTAAAAGCCATGATTATAAATTTTGCTTTTAGGCACAAGACAGTCAGTAAATGTGTGCTAGGCTCAGAACTTGGCAGGGATTGCAGAGGTGAAGAACATATGGTTCCTGCCTTTGAGAAGTTTAGTGGCATATTCCTGCCCTTGGTGCATGAGAGACTAGAGTGGGCTAGGCCCCCACAAGAATGTCCTAGCGAGCCTCCTCAAAACATTTGTATCTGTTTCATTTAATTCACATGTAGAAACTCTCTAGAGTTGCACTGTCCAATAGAAATGTATTGTGACCCACATAAGTAGTTTTACATTTTCTAGTCACCATGTTAGAAAAGTAAAAACCAAAAAGTGGAAATAAATCGCTACACAGGGTAATGCAGTCTTAGGCTACTTTATGAGGAGTAGACTTACTATACCCTGCAGTCTGACAGTGTCTAGCCATACTGTCATGCGTATGGGGAGTGAGGAGATCTGACACCACAGGGACCTGGAGTAGCTAGTGGTTAAAGCATGGGTCCTGGAGCTTGTGGCCTCTGTTTTTATCCTGGCTCCACTGCTTATCTGCTCTGTGACCTTAGGCACGTTAGTTATTCAGCCTCACTGTCTCAGAGAGCATATTGCATAGTGTGGTTATAAAGATTAGATAAGTTAATAGATATAAAGGGCTTAGAACCTAAGTGGTTGGATCATAGTAAACAGTATAAGTGTTTGCTTCTGCTGCTGTTACAAGAAACAGAATGTATTCATCCTAAAAAGAAAAAACTTAGGAGAATGTTGTAGTTCTCTTGAAGTTCTTTCATGGGGAGGAAGAATTTATTTATGATTCCAGAAGGCATATTAGAACTAACATGCAGGAGGAAGATGAAATGTTTTTATAACAAAGCTATTCAGGAATGTAATGGAGAGTCTCATTAAGTAATGAGTTCTGGGTCCCTAGAAGTGATCCCGAAAGACTGGTTGGCCACTTGAATTAATTAGTTGTGCAAGGAGTTGCACTCCATTCTTTATTTCTAGTAAAGCCATTTTTTTTATCCCTATATTCTGTGGTTTTCCTTCCTGGTCATCAATGTATTTCACCTTCTATGAGGAATCTACAGTCATGTGTAACGACATTTCAGTCAATGACGGACCACATATGGTGGTCCCATAAGATTAGGACCATATAGCCTAGGTATGTAGTAGGCTACGTCATCTAGGTTTGTGTAAGTACACAAACACACAACGACAAAATCACCTAACAACGCATTTCTCAGAACTATCCTTATCATTAAGTGACTCTTGTCTGTAGACATACAGAAGTCTGTTCAGGAGAGGCAGTCCTTTTTTGTGTGAAAAATGTGTATCTCTGAAATATAACATTTCTGTGGGTGATGTCTTGTGTGTTGGTAGGTCTTAGGTTCCTTTTTTGTTTTAAAAAATGTGGTTATGGAGGAATTTCCTGTTAAAAGCATTGTTCCTTTTTCCTGGCCTTTATGCCATTTGTCTGTCTGCCCTGGCAGAGCTCCTTCCTGTCCATTCACTAAAGTTTAGCCTGTGTATGTGAATTGAGGAACGCAGCTAATTTACTGTATCCATAGTGAGAGAAATTCAGCATAGAAACAGTATGATGGACATGTATTGCACAGTAAGTTTAGACTGTCTGCTTGGCTTTACTGGAATTTAAGTGGCCAAATGTCATCAGTAGAATTTGCTTTAATTACTCTTAGGTCTACCTTGCCTCTTGGCCCCGCTGTACCTCAGGCTTTGGATCCCTTTCCAAAACTATCTCAAGTCTACCTTCTTGTTTGACCCCAAGCTCATCTTTTAATTTATGTCTGAATCTGTACCAACATTGTGGCTGCTTCTAGTACTTACTCAGCATGTATTCAGCTGGTCTCTTCCACCAAGACACTCTGGTTTTCTTTGCTTTATTCTCTCTCTGCTTTATAACTTGTGTTGCTTTCTCTACTTTCCAGGCCACTCTCGATCTCAGGGGTCTTTCCTGTCTTGGGCTCTCCCGGTAGCCCCAGGCCCTGTGCTTAACGGTTCAGACCTGTCATTAGGCTCCTCTGAGGTCGAGTCCTTGGACTCTGCCATGACTGATTCATGTCTCCTGAGTTTTCCGAAAGCACAGCACACTGAAAGTTCCTTTCTCCTTGCAATCTTGGCATCCTCTCTCATTACAGTAATTCCAAGCCAGTGATTCATAATGAGCATTTTCATTTTAAAGGCATTCTCTTTTCCCCGTTAACTTAAACCGTATTGTTTTTGAGTACTTAAAGATCTCAGTTAAATTAAAAAAATTGTTGTTATGGAAAATTCCAAACATTCACAAAAATAAAGAGTGTACTGAACCCTCATGTACCCATCACCAGTTATTAACAGTTTGCTAGTCTTTTTTCATCACTTTTCCTTTTTTTCCCTTCACAAATGACATTTTGCCTGAAGATTCTCTAGTCCAGTTAGCATTCACACATATTCCCCTTTGTCCACTAAAATCATAGTCACTGTTTGGGGAAGATCATTTTATGAACATAAGATCTTTTAAGTCCTCTTAGCAGACAGTTCCAAATAAATTGTCACTTTCAAATTGAGCATTTTCATGATTTACCTTGTTTTGGCCAGAGTGGAGGAATAAATGTGAGTGTCTTGGGTAGGGAACGTGCACCTCAGAGTCTGTCTGTCAAGTACCAGTCAAGGACTTTGGCTCTGATATTGTGACATCCATCAGATCACCTTAGTTCCCTGTCTGTGAAAGCAATGACATTGAATTATATAGTATAAGTGCCTTAGCTCTAAGTAGTCAGTAACTGAAAGTTTAATATAGGTTTGAGTTGTATTTTCTTTTATAATTCAGCATTTTAGCAAAATTCACCATATTAATTTAACGTCAAACAAAGAAACCTAAATAACTATCAGAAGGATGTGAATTTTTAACTTAGCTATTATGAGAAAGCTTTTCCTCTGTAGAATGAGAGCGTGAACATGGATTGATGTGTTAATATCTGCTTTTCTCTAGAGAGCCTCCTTTTCATCTGACCAGAAGAGGCTGGGGTGAGTTTCCTGTCAGAGTTCAAGTTCACTTCAAGGACAGCCAGAACAAGCGGATAGATATCATACATAATCTGAAGGTATTGTCACAAATGTTACTTCCCAGGAATGAAGTCTCTTTGCACCTGGTGCTCACAGTGGAAGTGTTAGGCCTTCTGAGACAAGTGGCCAAGGAGCCTTATATTTACTGCTGTGACCCTCCTTTGTCCTCTGAACATCGGGGGAGGGGCTGTTGTACAGCAGAATCTACATTCTTTAAAAAGATGAACTGGTCAGATAATCAGAAAACTTGAATCTTTGATCAGCGCTCACTGTTAATTGTGTTGCCTGGGGCTAAGTTACTGAAATCTTTTTCTTTTTTAATCTATTTGCTTTTCTATAAAATGAGGCAAATAATAAGGCTTGTCTGTTTATCTCATAAGGATAAAGAATATGCTGATCTCCTAAGAGTAAAGATAGGAGAACATGTTTTATAAAATATAAAGTACAAGGTTATAATACTTTTGTATTAGAGAAATCCTTCACTGGTATATCCTCCTGGTTTATTATGCAGCCGTTGTAAATTGTATTTGACAAAGTGTTTTCTATATGTGGGGAAAAATTTCCATTATAGTAAGTCAGCAAAGTGTATAAAACTGTATGTATAGTATGAGGTCAACCATGATTTTATTTATTTATTTTTATTTATTTATTTATTTTTAAAGATTTTATTTTTCCTTTTTCTCTCCAAAGCTCCCCGGTACATAGTTGTGTATTTTTAGTTGTGGGTCCTTCTAGTTGTGGCATGTGGGATGCCGCCTCAACATGGCTTGAGGAGTGGTACCATGTCCATGCCCAGGATCTGAACCAGCGAAACCCTGGGCCGCTGAAGCAGAGTGCGCGAACGTAACCACTTGGCCACGGGGCCAGCCCCCAACCATGATTTTAAATAGGTGGAAAAAACACAAAAGAAATATACCAAAATGTTGGAGTAATTAAAGTAATGATATTGCGGGCAATTTCCCCTGCCTTTTTTTCGCCTGGGTTTTAAAAAAAAAATGTTTTTCCAATTTTATTTAATAAACATATTTAACTTTTGTAGTTGGAAGACAGACCATTTTTTTTTATGTTCCCTTGGGCCATTTCCATAGTAGTTTCGTGTACATTTTCTCTATGTAAGATATAATCCTAATATTGAGCTTCTCCCAAAGCACCGTTACTTTGTAGTTTACCATACTGTTTCCATTAATGGCTCCCAAAAGTGAACTACATGAATTGACTATATCTGCAGAATTCCTTTTTTATACCCTTTGTTCTACAAGTGGACCCTTTACAACCTTAAGGCATGTTGAAATTTGCCCTCCATTGGTGATAGAGAGCACTGCTTAACTTCATGTTTAAGTTATTTTCTAGAGATTCCTGTAGGACTGATTGCCTTATGACTTCAGAGAACAACTGGAGCCAAATAAAGAACATACTGAGGGCCAGGATATGGTCCTACTTACTTAGAGAAAGATCTAAAATAGTTTTGCTTTCCTTTTATTTTAAGCACTGCACATACCATCTTATATTATACTGGGCCCAGCCCTCATCCCCAGAATAAAAGGAATTGTTTACATAGCTTTCATACATGTTTTCTTGTCCATATCACTTAGAGTTTCTGGTGGAAGATTGAGACAGTTTTTTAAAATGACAGTATTTATTTCTTATCAAGCTTTCTGAAAACCTTAATTTTACTATTTATTATGTATTGGTTGGCCTTGAGACCTTAACTGTGACCGTATGATCTTTATTTGTACTGGAGTGTCATTTTCCCTGTTCTTCTGTGTTAACTCTCAGAGCCATCTTTGATTCTTCCCTCTTTGTTCTAAATATTTGTTCAGTTGCAGACCATTCTTTCTTCATAATCTTTCTTATATTCTACCCTTTGCCCTTCCCTTCTCCTGCTAGGCTATTGCTCCACTCTCTCCTGATGCTTCTTTAATCCTAGTTGATCAGTCCGTTCTGCACACCACCGTCAGAGTAGCCTTCCTAACAGAGGAGAACCATTAAGCTATTCCTCTCTGAGAACCCTTGATTGAATTCCTGTTATTCAAGTTTGAACTCCCCTGCCTGCTACTCAGGGCTCTTCACATTTTGACTCAACATACTTCTCCTTGATCTAAATTCTCTCACACTGATCCCCTGTGTGAACATCCTCCTCCAGCCAGGTCAGTCTGTTCATGTCCCAGAAATGCCTGGAGCCGCCTTCTCTCATGTCTTCTTTCAGGCTCTTCCCCTCCTCAAATGCCTGTTTGGATTCTTTCCATTCTTCAAGTTCCTATGTAACTTTTCCTGGCTATTGAAGCCCAAAGTGATCTCTCTGTATTCTGAAATTCTATGGTAAATAACAATCTGTATTTGATACTGTAATAATTACATTAAATACTAAATACTCTGAGTGTTAGACTTATGTGAAATTTAAAGTTCCCAGAATGTATGAAGTTCCCACATCCCGGATCCCTGACAGGTCATCATCTACAGCCATCACCCTGGAGTACAGTAATCCCCAAAACAATCCATTTATCCATTTAGTAAATAAACTTTTGGAAGGTTCTTTCATAAATTTACCTAAAACTGCCTTTTTTCTTTTTTAACCTTGAAACTCATTTGTCCTAGTTTGATTTCTGGAATAGCACAGAACAGGACTTTGTTTTGTTTTTTAAGAACCCTAAAACTGTTTAATGATAGCCTTCGTGTCTCTCCTTAAGTCATTTCTTTTCCAGGCATAGTCTGTTCTTGTATGCTGTGCTTTGTAGTCCCTCTTGCCATTTTGATAACAGTTCTTTTTATCAATCTTTCTCTTAAAATGTGCTCTGAAGAGTGAAACATAGGCCAGTGCAGATTAGAGAGAGACTCTGTGCTCTGGAGAATATGAAATGAACGTAACGTGAAATTGCCCGTATCTTTCAGCAGTCATAGTGCTGGCTAAGGTTTAAGTTTTAAAACTCCAGATTTCTCCCATGGAACTACTATGAATCCACTCTGTGTTGCTTTTCTGTTATGAACACTAGATCTCGTGTCTGAGTGTCCTCTCTCTGTGTTGGCTGCTAAGGAGCTCAGCCAGACTTCAAATGTACCTCTTACAAGCCTTTAGTATTTTCTGTTTACCAACCTACCCCTAGCTTCATGTTTTCCCCCATCTTTCCTCTCTACCCAACTTAACCATTTTCCCCCTGTTGATCTTACTATATACTATTTATATTGATGAGCTGCCACAGATCCTTTTTTTAAAGTGTGAGAATATAAATGAAAATACAGGAATAAGAACTTTGCCTCTTTTTATGTAATTGTAATCTTTTTTGTTTATATTATCAACATTCCCTCAGTTTATACTCTTGTCTTTTCTAAAGTCAGTCACGATGCTGATATATTGAAAGTGATTAGTGTTGCCTAATATTATCTAAATTTTCATTTATTTTTTCAAAAGTGCTTAGTAATACACACTAACTATAAAATTGTGTCATCACATTGCATATGTATTTTTATAGTCTGTATTTTAAAATATTTTTACATAGTCTTTGTAAATATCATCTACATGACTGCATAATACTTCACAATTGATGGTTCATGGTTTACTTAAGCATTCCTCTCTTGCTGGACGTTTATATTCTGATTCAGTTTGTGATTATAGGTAATGGTGCAGTAAACATCTTTTTATGTAAAACTTCCTCCATTTTTAGATTGTCCTTAGAATAGCTTTTTAGAAGTGTGTAGTTTATGTTAAAAGTATAATAACCAGCTGTATTTCTGAGGTTATTATTAATTTTACTCAATTTTTCCCCCAGAAAATTGAGGGGTTTTATTGAAATGATGAATTGATAGTTTACATTATGGAAAAGTAGATCCTATGGCATGAAGACTTGTGAAAGAGATTTTAGATAAGATTGTATCCTGAGATTTATAAGTAAGTGTTATGAAATTTAACACTCTTCCTTTTGTCTCTCAATAGCTGGATAGAACTTATACTGGCTTGCAGACTCTTGGAGCAGAGACGGTAGGTTTCTTCCCTACAGTATTATTTGGGAACACGTAGAATGAAAATTGATGTTGTTTGTTGTTGAGGAAGATTGGCCCTAAGCTAACATCTATCATCAGTCTTCCTCTTTTTGCTTAAGGAAGATTGTCGCTGAGCTGACACCTGTGCCAGTCTTCCTCTATTTTTTGTGGGATGCTACCACAGCGTGGCTTGACCAGCAATGGGTAGGTCCACACCTGGGATTTGAACCAGTGAACCCCGGGCTGCCAAAGTGGAACATGAGAACTTAACTGCTGCACCACTGGGCCGGCCCCTCTTCATTTTTAATTAGAAAAAAAATGAGTGCTGAATTTTTTAAAAAGTTTATCTCCCCCTTTTTTTGTTTCCTTTTTGAAAAATTGTGATAAAATACACCTAAAATTTATCATTTTAACTATTTTTAAGTATATGGTTAAGTGGTATTAAATATATTCACATTTTTGTGCAGCCATTGCTACCATTCATCCAGAACTCTTTTCGTCTTGGAAAACTGAAACCGTACCCATTTACAATTACTCTCCATTCCCTTCCGCTCCCAGTCCCTGGCAACTACCCTTCTACTTTCTGTGTCTATGAGTTTGACTACTCTAGGAGACCTGTAAGTGGAATCATACAGTGGTTTTTTTGTGTGTGTGTGACTGGCTCATTTCACTTAGCATAATATTCTGAAGGTTCATTCATATTATAGCATGTATCAGAATTTCCTTCCTAAAAAAGGCTGAAAGATACAGACATACCTCATTTTGTTGCACTTTGCAGCCGTTCCATTTTTTGTATATTGAAGGTTTGTAGTAGCCCTGCATTGAGCTAATTTGTCAGTGCCATTTTTCTAACAGTGTTTGCTCACTTCATGTCTCTGTGTCACATTTTGGTAATTCTCACAATATTTCAAACTTATTCATTATTATTGTATTTATTATGGTGATTTGTGATCAGTGATCATTGGTGTTACTATTGTAATTATTTTGGGGCTCCACAAAACACGCCCATGTACAATGACGCACTTTATCAATGTGTGTGTTCTGACTGCTCCTGACCAGCTGTTCCCCCACCTGTCTCCCTCTCCTCTGGCCTCCCTATTCCCTGAGACACAGCACTACTGAAATTAGGCCACTTAAGTCTACAGTGGCCTCCAGTGTTCAAGTGAAAGAACGAGTTTCACATCTCTCAGTGTAAATCAAAAGCTAGAAACGATTAAGCTTAGTGAAGAAGGCCTGTCAAAAGCTGAGATAGGCCAGAAGCTAGGCCTCTTGCGCTAAACAGTTAGCCAAGTTGTGAATGCAAAGGAAAAGTTTTTGAAGGAAATAACAAGTGCTGCTCCACAGAACACAACCTTATTGCTGATATGGAGAAAATTTTAGTTGTCTGGATAGAAGCTCAGACCAGCACAACATTCCCTTAAGCCAAAGCCTAATCCAGAGCAAGGCCCCAACTCTCTTCAATTCTATGGAGGCTGAGAGGTGAGGAAGCTGCACAGGAAAAGTTTGAAGCCAGCAGAGGTTGGTTCCTGAGGTTTAAGGAAAGAAGCTGTCTCCATAACATAAAAGTGCAGGTGAAGCAGCAAGTGCTGATGTAGAAGCTGCAGGAAGTTATCCAGAAGATCTAACTAAGATAATTAATGAAGGTGGCTACACTAAACAACAGATTTTCAGTGTAGATGAAACAGCCTTCTATTGGAAGAAGATGCCATCTAGGACTTTCATAGCTAGAGAGGAGAAGTCAATGCCTGGCTTCAAAGCTTCAAAGGACAGCCTGGCTCTCTTGTTAGGGGCTGATGCAGCTGGTGACGTTAAGTCAAAGCCAATGCACATGTACCATTCTGAAACTCCTAGGGCCCTTAAGAATTATGCTAACTCTACTCTGTCTGTGCTCTATAAAAGGAACAACAAAGCCTGGATGACAGCACATCTGTTTACAACATGGTTCAGTGAATATTTTAAGCCCACTGTTGACACGTACTGCTCAAAAAAAAAATTCCCTTCGGAATGTTACTGCTCATTGACAATGCACCCAGTCACCCAAGGGCCCTGATGGAGATGTACAACGAGACTAATGTTGTTTTCATGCCTGCTAACACAACATCCATTCTGTAGCACATGGATCAAGGAGTAATTGACTTTCAAGTCTTATTTAAGAAATACGTTTCATAAGGCTATAGCTGCCATAGATAATGATTCCTCTGATGGATCTGGGCAAAGTCAATTGAAAACATTCTGGAGAGGATTCACCATTCTTGATGCCATTAAGAACATTCGTAATTCATGGGAAGAAGCAAAGTATCAGGAGTTTGGAAGAAGTTGATTTCAACCCTCATGGATCGTTTTGAGGGGTTCATAGCTTCAAAGGAGAAAGTAATTGCAAATGTGGTAGAAACAGCAAAAGAACTAGATTTAGAAATGGAACCTGAAGATGTGACTGAATTCCTGCAGTCTCATGATAAAACTTTAATAGATGAGGAGTTGCTTCTTAAGGGGTTTGAGAGATTGACTGCAATTTTAAAAGAAGTTCTACTTCTTAAGAAATTGCCATACCACCCCAGCCTTCAGTAGCCACCACCCTGATCAGTCAGCAGCCATCACCATCGAGGCAGGACTCTCCACCAGCAAAAAGATTAATGACTTACTGAAGGCTCAAATCATTGTTAGCATATTTTAGCAATAAAATATTTTTAAATTAAGGTATGTACATTGTGTTTTTAGACATAATAGTATTGCACTGTTAATAAACGACAGCATAGTGTAACCATAACTTTTATACGCACTGGGAAACCAAAAAATTCATGTGACTCGCTTTATTGCGGTGGTCTGGAACGGAACCTGCAGTATCTCTAAGGTATGCTTGTATTCAGTTATATGTGTATCCTGCATTTTGTTTCTCCATTTATCCACCAGTGAGCACTTGAGTTGCTTACATCTTTTGGCTATTGTGAATAATAATGCTGCTAAGAATGTGGGTCTGTCTGTTCAAGTCCCTTCTTTCAGTTCTTGTGGGTATATAACCAGCAATGGAATTTCTGGATTATATGGTAATTCTATTTTTAATTTTTTAGGGAACTGCCACACTGTTTTCCATAACAGCTGCACCATTTTACATTCTCACAAACAGTGCACAAGGGTTACATTTTCTCCATATCTTTACCAGCACTTGTTATTTTCTATCTTTTTGATAGTAGCTATCCTAATGGTTATGAGGTGGTATTTCATTGTGGTTTTGGTTTGCATTTCTCTAATGATTGTTGATGTTGAGCATCTCTTCCTGTGTTTATTGGCCATTTGTATATCTTCTTTGGAGAAATGTCTGTTCAAATTTTTTTGCCCATTTTTGAACTGGGTTGAGTTTTAGTTGTTGAGTTTTAGGAGTTCTCTCTGTATTCTCTATGTTAGTCTCTTATCAGATATATGATTTGCAAATATTTTCTCCCATTTTGTGGGTTGCCTTTTTACTCTGTTGATTGTGTCCTTTGATGCACAGAAGTTTTAAATTTTGATAGAGTTCACTTTATCTGTTTTTCCTTTTGTTGCCTGTGCTTTTTGTGTCATATCCAAGAAATCATTGCCACATTCCTATGTCTGAAGGTTTGCCCCTATATTTTCTTGTGTTGCATTGTTTTAGGTCTTATGTTTAGGATTTTGATCCATTTGGAGTTGATTTTTGTATATAGGGTAAGGTAAAGGTCCACCTTCATTCTAATGTATGTGGATAGCCAGTTTTCCTGGCACCATTTGTTGAAAGACTGTCCTTTTCCCCTTGAGTGGTCTTGGCATCCTTGTCAAAAATAATTTGACCATATATGTGAGGGTGTATTCTATTCCAGTGGTATATATATCTTCCTTTATGTTAGTACCAAATGTTTTGATTACTATAGGTTTGTAATAATAAGTTTTGAAATCAGGAAGTGTGAGAGCTCCAACTTTGTTTTGCCTCCCCTTACTGCTTCGCCTCCTTTTTTTTGGTATTCATGATGTATCAGCAGTAGCCATTATAATTAGAATTATCTAGTTAAATCTTACTCTGCTTAGGGAAATGTACTCTGTTATGTCAAAAGATATTTATTGAGCATGTACTGTGTTCTAGGCACTGGTCCAGGGATTGGGGACACACAGAAATGAACAAGATAGCTACTATCAAGCAGATATATTCTTGGTTGTGTTGAGAATAGGGAGAAGGTATACAGTAAACATAAAAGGAAATAAGATAATTTCACTTGAAAATAAGCTTTATAAAGAAGAGCGGGTGACAAGAGGGCTGCTTTCCCTAGGTTGGTTAGGGAAGGCCTTTCTGACAGGGTGATGTTGATTGAATGGTGAGAAAGAGGCATTCATGCAAAGATTTGGGGGAAAAGTTCTAAGGCGTAAAAACAGCACATGGAAAGGCTCCAATTTTATGGCTGATTTCACTGAATTATCTGTTAAGGCAAACTAGATATATTCTGGGATAAGTGCTTTAGTTCTTGGGATTGAAATTGCCTTTGAAGTATGATTAGAAATCATTTGTCACTTCTCTTTCGATTACCACATTCTAAGACAGGTATGGGGCTTTCTGTGACACTGATGATGGGTTCTTGAGCCCAGTTGTTGCTCCATTGTGTAGGTAGTGGATGTTGAGCTCCACCGGCATTCCCTTGGAGAAGACTCCATTTATCCTCCATCCTCCGAGTCGGACATCTCTGATGCCCCACCGTCTTTGCCTTTGACCATTCCAGCCCCAGTGAAAGCTTCCTCGCCGTTGAAGCAGTCACATGAGCCAATACCTGATACCTCTGTGGAGAAAGGTAATATATTTTTCCTTATATGGAAATGCCTTTTTCTTGTATGGAAGAGTCATTCTGGGTCATTTCTTTCTCTCATTTGCATAATATAATATTGCACTTCTGCCTTCAGAGACTTAAGAGTGTGTGGAAAGTCACTTTTCCGTAAGTGGACATGATGCTTATACTATACAGCCCTACTATGAAAAGAGCTAAATCTTTCCTCTTCTCAGAAAATTTTCTTTCATAAAGTTCTACTGACATTTTTTGGAACACAAAACTCAAAAAACATTAAATTTTTATTCTTTGATTATAATGGTTTCTTCTAATATGTTACAGGTAGACTTTCTGATTCAGTCCCTAATTGTGTGCACATGAAACTTAAGTATCTAATCTTACTTAAAATACAATATATGATTAATCATCAAATGTATTTTGACTATCGCATTTTTTCATTTAATAAGTGTATAAGTATTTAAATCTTCACTTATATGATGTATACATATATGATATAAAATTGATTCTAAATGGTGTTAGTTTAATTCTAAGCCTACATTTTTGTATTTTTTTATTTTTGTCTGTTTTCTTTTTTGGCAAGGAAGATTCTCCCTGAGCTACCATCCGTTGCCTATCTTCCTCTTTTTTTTTTTGGCTTGAGGAAGATTAGCCCTGAGCTAATATCTGTGCCAGTCTTCCTCTACTTTGTATGTGGGGTGCTACCACAGCATGGCTGATGGGTGGTGTAGGTCGGCGCCCAGGTTCTGAACCTGCAAGCCCAGGCTGCCGAAGCAGAGCACGTGGAACTTGAACCACTCAGCCACGGGGCCCCTCCCCTAGTCCTGCATTTTAATATGATGGCACTATTTTAGTTCTTTTATGAAATCTCAACTTTATTCCTCTTTAAGTTTCAGTTGCATCTTTATTGGCATTTAAGAAGACATCATTAGATTAAGTGAATGCTTTCTTTAGAGTTTTTCTCTTCTTTAAAGTTTTTCAATTCATACATAAAAAATGGGAGAACATAATAAACTTGTGTGCTTTTTATATTATATACACTGTATAATTAATATATTTTCTAATTTTTTGAAAAAAGCATTTTAATAAAATATGATTCTAGGCATGATATTTACGTTTCACCCAAAAATGTGTGAAGGGTAATAAATACTGTTGATTAATTTACTACTGGTAAATGGTTGTTGAAATAATAAGGGATTTTTATTTTTCATTCTTTTCCCACAGTGGTAAGATTTTATTATTTTGAAGTGATTGATGACTTACCATTTGCCTGTTTCATTTCAAGCAGGATTCCCAGCCAACACTGAAGCTGAGAGACACAGTACATTTTATTCTTTGCCATCTTCATTGGAACGAACACCCACCAAAATGACAACATCCCAGAAAGTTACCTTTTGTTCTCATGGCAATTCAGCTTTTCAGCCAATAGCATCAAGCTGCAAAATTGTGCCTCAAAGTCAGGTTCCTAATCCTGAGTCACCTGGAAAATCCTTCCAACCTATCACCATGAGCTGCAAGATTGTTTCAGGTATACAGATGACGTGTGTAAAAATTGTTGGAATGACAAGACAAAATACTATGGCTTTTCTTTTTTAGTTCTTCTAAGCAGGGGTTTTTGTTTAACAAGCAAGCTAATGATTAGCAAAGCAAAGCTGTCACAAAGCAAAAAGAAAAAGTCATTCATATGCAAACAGTTCTTTTACAAGAAAGAGTGGCCCTGAGCTAATGTCTGTTGCCAGTTTTCCTCTATTTGCTTGAGGAAGATGGTCCCTGAGCTAACATCTGTGCTGCTCTTCCTCTACTTTGTATATGGGACCCTGCCACAGCATGGCTTGATGAGTGGTGTGTAGGTCTGTGCCTGGGATCTGAACGTGCGAACACCAGGCTAGCCCCTGGAAACAATTTTTGAATGAGGAAAGAAATGAAATTCAAAGTAAATTTTCATCTCGTACAATTAGCACAGGTCAAATGTTTGCTAAGATATATGGTTGAAACTAAGGTGGGGATTAAGTTTGGGGATTATATGTGGAAACCAAAGTGACTAGCGATAGAAAAGAATTTAGGAGGCTTTTGGTTTGGAGTTCAGCTTCAGGAGTTGGAATTACTTTGGGATTGAAATATCTTTTATACTCTCTAACCATTCTAGAAAATTATTCATTCCTGTTATCACTAGATAGTTTTGAGTCTTCGTTTTCATTGAGGTCGAATCGTCCGTTGCCTTGTGACAGTTTCCCATTTATGTCGGGTAAACTTCTGGTGGGAATACAGTTCATGATTTTGGCTGTACCACCTCAGAACAGACAAGGAAGAGAGTCAATAGAAATGTCTAGCTAGTGGGAGGCTTCCTTATAATGCTTCATTTAAGAAGGGGGAAAAAAGGGAGTCTTTGGTGCTAAAAATAGACAACTAAGCAGGAATATAACCAAAGCCTTTGAAGTTGAAGAAAGGTAAAGAATCTATAATTTGGGCCTGGTCCCATGGCCGAGTGGTTAAGTTCACGCACTCTCCTGCAGGCAGCCCAGTGTTTCATTGGTTCGGATCCTGGGCGGAGACATGGCACTGCTCATCAAAACACGCTGAGGCAGCATCCCACATGCCACAACTAGAAGGACCCACAACGAAGAATATACAACTATGTACCAGGGGGCTTTGGGGAGAAAAAGGAAAAAAAATAATAATAATGATAAAATTTTTTTAAATTTAAAGAATGTGTAATTTTACCTGCCAGTTAGAAGCGGTTTGGAACTTGCTGCTTCAGAGGTGGAAGAAGATGAACATATAAATTAGTTTGAAGTTCAGAGAAATTCATGGATGACAAATTTGATCAATGAAGAACAGTTGAGAGGGGCCTGCCCCACGGCCAAGTTGTTAAGTTCGTGTGCTCTGCTTCAGTGGCCCAGGGTTTCGCCGGTTCGGATCCTGGGCGCAGACGTGGTACCGCTCATCAGGCCATGTTCAGGCAGGTGGCATCCCACATGCCACAACTAGAAGGACCCACAACTGAAATATACAACTATGTACTGGGAGGATTTAGGGAGAAAAAGCAATTTAAAAAAAAAAGATTGGCAACAGTTGTTAGCTCAGGTGCCAATCTTTTAAAAAAAAAAAACAGTTGCGAGTGTTTAATGGTACATTGGTAACCTTTGAGAGTATTCTGTGGGAACATGAATCTCTCTGGATCGTGGCTGTGACATAGTATTGACAGAGACTTTTGTTTTGAGTGGGTGAATTTCAGAATTTTTTATTGGAAATTAATTGCACATCAAGATTTCTGGTGCCTAAGTCTAGCTGTTCACTTACTAATTTCCTCCCTAATTTTAGTGTCTTTGGGTGTAAACAGTATTATAACAACTTTGAACTGCTTTTTGAACTTTAATGTGCCTACCGTGTGATCTTGTTAAAACGCGGATCTATATTCAGTAGGTCTGGGGTAGGATTTCAGAATCTGTTTCTGACAAGTTCCCGGATGCTGTTGCTGCTGCTGCTGGTCCAGGGATAAGGATGGAGAGAGTGAAACTCCCTAATCCCAGGCCTCAGCTACGCTGCTGCTGCTGCCCAGTACCTGAAACATACAGTTCCGTTCTCTTTTCCCAGTTTGTCACCTTTGTCCTCGTCGCCCTGCCCTTTTTCTGTTACCTTCAGCATCTTCTTAGATAGATTGAATATATCTATTTAGTTTAGTTTCTCTGTCTTTTCTCTTTTTTGTTGTAAAGGTTCCCCTATATCAACTCCAAGTCCATCACCATTGCCTCGAACCCCAACTTCCACTCCAGTCCATGTGAAGCAAGGCACTACCAGCTCTGTTATTAATAATCCTTATGTTATCGTGGACAAGCCGGGACAGGTTATTGGAGCTACCACTCCCACTACAGGTGGGTGTTTCATCAACATTTGTGCAATCCAAAAGAGTTGATCTTTTTTAGAGATGAAATCCTAGCATGAGAATGAAATCTTCATCCATAAACAAGAGGGGGGAATATATAAAAGTAACTCCAGTGCTCTTTCTCTGAGGGAGGATTTGCTTTTTTGTAAAAGTTATATTTTTAGGAATTTACTTAAGTTTTTTCTTTGAAATCTAAAAATTAAAAGTGAGACCTAATTAGTTTTCTTTAAAACAAAAAAGTTTATTTTATTTTCATTTGGAAGACATTCTTGTTGGGCCTGCAAGCAATGTGGTTGTTAACTTTTCCAAATTAAGTTTTAGAACAAGAACAGCTTTGTGAGCCGTATATATTTCTCCCCAGTCAAATAAAAAAGTGATCTTTGCTTTTCTGTGAATAAGATAAATTTTCGTGTGAGAGGGAAACTGATCTCTACAGTTATAGAAAGAGAACTCTAGAATACTTGGATTCACTGTGATTGTCATCATAATCATAGTGATTTTCAGGTTTCTTTGAAGTACTTTCACTAACATTTATTTCCTTCAATTAAATTTTTTAAACACACACTCCTAAGTGTAAACTTACCTATTAGCTTTTACTTCTAATTAAGAGAAATTGCGAAAAGAGAAATGAAGTAAGATATGACTAAGATAATGAGACTGGTTTTTTTTTTTTTTTTGAGGAAGCTTGGCCCTGAGCTAACGTCTGTTGCCAGTCTTCTCTTGTTTTTTTCTCCCCAAAGCCCCAGTACACAGTTGTATATCCTAGTTGTAGGTCATTCTAGTTCTTCTATGTGGGATGCTGCCACAGCTGGCTTGATGAGCAGTGCGTAGGTCTGTGCCCAGGATCCAAACTGGTGAACCCTAAGCTGCCCAAGCAGAGTGCGTGAACTTAACCACTCAGCTACCGGGCTGGCCCCCTACATATTTGACTTTTTCTTTTTTAAAGATTGGCACCTGAGCTAACATCTGTTGCCAATCTTTTTTTTCTTCTTCTTCTTCTCCCCCTTTACATAGTTGTCTACTCTAGTTGTAGGTCCTTCTAGTTCTGCTATGTGGGATGCCGTCCCAGCATGGCCTAACAAGTGTTGCCATGTCCACGCCCAGGATCTGAACCAACGAGCCCTGGGCCGCCTAAGCAGAGCACGCAAACTTAACCACTCGGCCACAGGCCAGCCCCCATATTTGATTTTTAACACACATGAATGTATGTTGCCTTTCCAAGTAATCTTTTGAGAAAGTTACGTCCTTTAACAATGATTATAATTGTGTAACTTTTAAAAATGCTGCTTTCGGAGATTAGCTAATAGCTTTTTGAATATACTTAGAGATGCCAAATAGATGTCCTTTGAGGATGTTTAGTTTTAGGAATCAGCCAGGAGTCTTTGCAGGGAAGTTTGGTAAAGGGAGTAGGTGATGAAATACTGTTTTCGGTCTCGACTTATTATTGACTGTAGATAATGTGATTTATTCCTATTAGACCTAAAGGTAGTTATGCAGGTGGAGTACAGAGTGTTTAGTGTTGGCAGCATTTTGGAATAGGTATAACTGTCTACCTTGATGGAGCTAGCAGTCTCTTGAATGCATACATTTTGGCACAGTGTTAAATACCCAGTACCATTAGGCTGTACTCTCTCTTTTTGTGTCCATAGCAGAGTGTATAACGTTTCTTACTTCACTACTTCTTCTACACTTCCTTACTAGCTTCTTGTACCTTTTTAGCTTAATAAAGTGTTCAGCTTTGTAGGATGAGTCCTTGAGTGTTTTTCTATAATAATTTCATGATTTTGAGTTCTCAACCTTTAAAAGTGAAAAATAAATAGTGGGGAAAGGGGAGGGTGGTAGAAAATGCTTTAAAATTCCATTTTGTAAATTTTACTTTGTTTGTACTTTTGCTTATCAGGAAGTCCTACAAACAAGCTCTCTACTGCCTCTCAGGCCTCCCAAGGAACAGGTTCCCCTATTCCTAAAATTCATGGGAGTAGTTTTGTAACATCTGCTGTCAAGGTAATACTCTTATTGCGTGATTGCTCTTTGCTAGTTTCTGAAGACAGTTTAAACTCAACAAGAATTCGTCAGTCGATAATGCAAATTTCGTAAAGTAGGATCTTAAGCTAGTAAGTATCTTGAAGATCATCTTCTCCAGACTCCCCTACCTTATCCTTGATCTTTTCCTAGTGTAGGAAATGTTTCTCAACACTTCTATCAGTTGGTCACCCAGTGTCTATATGAAAACTTACGATGATGAAGAGGTGGCCTGGTTTTTTTTGGACAGCTTTGTTATAAATTTTTCCTTATAAAAATATTCATCTGTCAGTACATGCCTTTTTGCCTGTATTTGCACCAACGAGGAGTAAATGTATTTCCTTTTCTATGTCACCATTTAGTTAGTTTAAAATAATTCTTATCTTTCCATATGTGTTTTTCTCCCTTCTTCAGAGTAAGAAGTCCTTTGAGGTTTAGAACTTAAGATATGATCTGACTTTTTCAGGTCAGAGTGCTAGATACTTGCCCACTGTTTGGCAGAGACAGTCCCTGTTATTCAACTAATTTGTCCTTGTCATGGCTGCCTTCAGGCAAGAGCCTTTGAGGTACAAACTCCTGTCTGAGAACTCCTGAGAATTCAGAAATCACCTTTACGTGACAAGTGCTAACACAGCGTTTCTTATATTTAGGCGCTTAAAGATTAAAAAAAAATTTTTTTTCTTTTTCTCCCCAAAGCCCCCCAGTACATAGTTGTATATTTTTAGTTGTGGGTCCTTCCAGTTGTGGCATGTGGGATGCCCCCTCAGCACGGCCCGATGAGCGGTGCTACGTCTGCGCCCAGGATGCAAACCGGCAAAACCCTGGGCCGCCGAAGCAGAGCACACGAACCCAACAACTTGGCCACGCGGCCAGCTCCTATTTCGGCACTTAATGTTGATGATACTGAGTAGTTTCCTGGTCCAAGGCGAGGTTTTTCTCTAAATTCAGTGTAATCCGTGAACAGTGTGTTACATGAATGCCTGAACTGTAATAATTCCCTTGAAAGTCTTAATTCTCTGCCAGTCTATTTTTTAATGTTTGTTGATGATCATTTCATTACACTTAAGCAGTTTTCTTAACTTTGTGTCTGCCCTCTAACATTTATTTGTGGCAAATTGCCTCTGAGCTTTGCATTTTGTAGTTGAGAATTAGAAACAAATGACAGTAATTTTGAATGTTGACCTTTGTTGTCTTTATATTTGCTAATTGTTCAAGTTCTTTTTGTTGTTTTGTTTTTTAAATCCTTATTGAAGAGTATCCCCATGTCCTGAGTATTTATTTAGAGTGAAAATAACAAATCAAGTTGTGAGTACTATTAGAAGAGAGTATGTACTGAAACACTGTAATGACTGGTTCATTCACTTGTTTCTTTAGTGCTGAGACTCTAGGGGTAGAAAAGGGGTAGAAAAGAAGTAAAATACAGCGCCTGTCCTTTAGTAGCATACCGTCTGGCAGGGGATGAGACCTGCACACCAGTGAGTCAGCCACATATTTAGAGGTGGGGTGATGAGAGTGTTTCCAGCACACAATGGGGCACAGATGGTAGGCTCTTGCCAAATTATAGCTTTTCTTTGCATTTGGTTTCTAAAACAATATTAAAATGCTTGGAAGACTCCAAAGAGTTTTGGGCTTTTTGTTTTTCTAGTTTATCTTGCTAGAGAATGTCACAGGTTTGTATTAAATACAAGTGACTAGAATATCTGAAATCACTCATTTTATCCTAATTGTTGAATATGTATTTTTACACACACAGCAGGAGGATTCTTTGTTTGCATCTATGCCGCCGCTTTGCCCGATTGGAAGTCACCCTAAGGTTCAAAGCCCCAAACCTGTAACTGGAGGACTTGGAGCTTTCACAAAAGTGAGTGTTTATCAGGGCATCATCACGCAAGTTGATACGGTCTTGTTATGTAATCTTTTTTTTGGCTTGTTGGAATTGATTTACACTGCCCCACAACATGTACCTTTTTAGTGTGTCTCAGTTCTAAGACCAGATCCATTTCTGAGACATGCTTCCATGTATTTAGTGGTGTCCACAGGACAGCTCTTGGAGTCCAGCAAGATGGGAACTTCAGAGAACACAAACGGTCTGTGTGTTTCTCCCTGCTGCCATCTTGCCACCAATACCTAAAACAAATGACTAGATTGAGTTTGCAGATATGCACAATCAAGCCCAGATCCTACTTTGGTCCCTTTGGTAGCTGTTATGAGCCATATTTAAGCAGTGTTTTTACCCTTATGGTGGAATCATTCTTTCCAGACCAAACTTCATTCATTAATTCCTGCAAACAGAATAGCTTCGGATATTAGTAGCTTTTTTTATGGGATCTTTATTCAGTGTCATTATCATGTTTGTTGCAAGGTAATCATCAAACAGGAACCTGGTGAAGCCTCTCACGTGCCCACAACAGGAGCTGCCAGCCAGTCACCCCTCCCTCAGTATGTGACTGTGAAAGGGGGTCACATGATAGCTGTGTCCCCTCAAAAACAGGTCATAACTGCTGGAGAAGGGACTGCCCAGTCACCAAAGATTCAGCCCTCCAAGGTTTGTGTTGGGTCGGGATGGGGACATCAACATGGAAATGAACGTCGTTTGTCTAAACAGTTGACAAGTGCTGAGAACATTCAGGATGACAGGGTTGCTGATCCCAGAAAACCTATAGCTGAAAGCCCCATTGGAAAAGCAAGGCAGTTGCTGTTAAACCCGTCTGCTCTTGCAGTAGTCATTGACAAGAGCAGGGCCGTGTGTTATAGAGGCTCCAGGAGCAGTCGAAGAGGCAAAGGGACGCTCTGTTCTCTCTGGCAGTGAGGGTGGTTGACTTCATGGACACATCTCTCCACTTGATTCAGGCCTAAAATGGTAACTGACAGGACCAAGGTTTACTGTTTTACTTGTTTATTTCTGATAGGAGAGTGCTATAGTTTACATCTCTGATGTTCAGGCTGGGTGATCTGTTTAATGATTCTTGGCTCTTCAGAGAGTTTGTTTTCTTTATAGTTTGGAGGTGTGGGGAATCGATGTATTGGGAGAGCTGTGAAGTAGTTCATAGCTCCATGCTTTCCTGCATCAGTTGTGCTTATGAGTGTCTGTGCACGTCAGCCTCTTATTTATAGACCATCTATAACCCTCAAACAACCTTGCAAGGTGGATATTTTCACCCCCATTTTACAAATGAGGCAGCTGTGACGCTGAGAGGTTAGGCAACTGCCTTGAGAGCATATAGCTATTAAGTGACAGAAGATTTGAACTCAGGCCTGCCAACTTCAAAACTCCCCATTCCAGAACTAATTAAAATGTGTGAGTCATTCTCTGTAACCTAAACATGCTTTTAGAACATCCAGAGTTAAAGCATCTCACTTTTTGGTCAGATATAGTCTAAAGCTATTAAGAATATTATGTGAAATGTTTGTTTTTCAACTTGAAAGCCACCCTATCTCGAGAAAGAGTGAATTGTTTTGAGAGGAATGCTTTAAAATAGAAAAAGGTTTTCGATATTTTGATTAGTCTGGATAGCTACATGTGAATTGAGATAAAATTTCATAGTGTTATACGTAGTTCTAAAATCTGTAAGAGTCCATTAATCACTTGCCCAAACTTACCAGGTCATAAGACTCATCTGATAATTAAAAATATATAGATACTGAGGCCCCCTCATCTCAAACTTATTGAGTCAGCATCTTCTTGGGGGCCCTGAGAATCTGAATTTTTAACAAGCTCCCCTCCTGACTCATGATTAGGCAGATTTAGGAACCGTGGAGCTAGCATCAAATTTGACTTTGGGGCTTCCATAGCCAAAATTACTAAGATGGGCACCCCCAGCTGCTTCCTAGTGCCCCCTCTGTTGTTTGGCCGCAGGAGTCAGCATTTGTGGAAGTTTTTTTGTGAATCAGTTATTGTCTTCTGGACTTCCTACTCAGACACATCCTGTGAGTTCTTCACAATCTATTTTGCTTCACCCAGAGATACTTGGCATTACTGATTTAGGTTTTTGAATCAAAGTAGCATTGCTCTTTATGCTCAGAAGCTCTGGGTAAGTTAGTTTCCACTTTCTGCCACTTTGCATTTTGCAAATCTACTCATCCAGTAATGCTGAGCAACTGTATTAGCTTTTTTGTCACATTGCCACCTACCTAATGGCAATGTAAGACTAAGAGAAAGTGGGTGATTTGTGCTAGATTGCCCTGAATAAAGGTAAAGGTCACCTGAGAAGAAAAGCCACAGGAGAGTGTGAAGGAACTGCAAAGAAACAGTAGAGCATGAGAAAAGACATCACTGTTTATCCTGGAAATTTAGTACCTGCCTTGGACTTGAGATAAGGAGCTGTCTGCAAGGACAGACTGTCCTGGTTGTTGCTCAGGTGCATTCCTAGAAACTGTGCCACCGCCCAGAAGAGAACAAAATGGTACTGTTTGCCTGCCATACAACTTGGGCACAAGGGAAACACAGCTTGTCTTTTTCATGAAAGTGGAGAGAGCTGCTGCTTTTAATATGAAAAGGAACCACTGAGGAATTAGTGGGTTCACGTGGGAAGGAATCAGTGCGGTAGAGAAAAGATTGTGAGCTTTGGAATTAGGGCTTGTCACACATCTCAGATCTCAACCACTCATTTCTTGTGTGACCTGCTCAGAACCTTATTTTTTTCATCTAGTGAAAGAGAATAGGACCGTCTGTCTATCAGAGTGTAGGATTAGAGGTCATTGTATATGAAGGACCTAGCGAGAGGAACTGCTCGGTAAATGACGGAAGCTGATGTTGTGTGTCTGGACAAGTTCTAGGCGGTATCCATGCATGAGCACCTTGGTGATAGTTATTAAGTACTGAATTGTAATTGGCTGCATTTTTCAGTGTCTGGGTAGAAAATCACGTGTATAGAATCCTCACCTTCAGGCTGCTAAGGTAAATTCTGACTTGCAAAGGTCTGTACAGGGCACCGGGAGGGTGGAAATAGGAACATTGAATCAAACCATCAGTCAAAGTGAAGTATTTACAACAATACAGGACAAAGGGTGTCTGCTTTCTGGAATTTGAAGGAAATTAGGAATACAGAGAGAAGTATTGTGGAATGGGAAGAGGAGAAGTGTTGGTAGGGTTCAGGTTCTAGGTCAAAATGTTGTATTGTTAAAAAAAAGAAAAACTAATGTGGGATTATAGTGTCCTGCTTAAGAGCCTGCCTTGTGATGTCCTAAGACAGCTGTGTGTGGGGCTTTCCCCAACAGAATGCCAGACTTCCTCATTCTCCTCAGTTTTTTAGGAGAAAGGGAGTGGGGTTGGGGAGTTCATCTTGTGAGTCTGTGCTTTGAGTGTATCAACTCTGCTAATAAAAACTGCCCTCCTGTGGCCAACTTGGAATACCACGTTTTATTTGGCTCTTGGAGAGATTAAGTATGTCATATTCTGGAAATTTTGAAGCAGTTGAGTCTGAGGATAGAGGTTGGCACAAAGAGGGAGAAGCAAGTCAGATGCGTGGAATTTTAGGAAAGAAATTAAATAGGTCCGATATGTATGTATTGTTTTCCTTTAAGATGTTTGCTTTTCTCATTAGCTTAGGAATGTAAAAATAGACTGTAATTTAACTTATACAATAGATTATTATGTTTGATTTATTTAGGAAATGTGTTGTCTTGGGGAAAAATATTCGACGACTATAACAGAAATCCAAAAAACAGAGGCTTAAATAAGCTTATTTCTCTCACACATGAAAGACCTGTGGATCGTTCTAGTGTGTTGGTTCCGTAATCATCAAGAATCTAGACTCTTCTCATTGCTCTGCCATTCTCAAAATTTTGTTTTCAGCTGGTGGGCTAAGATAGTCACTTCATCTCATGCCACATGTTCACTTTTCTGGTCAGCAGGAAGAGGGAAAGGGAAAGGGGAGGCGTAACCCAAAAGTTAACCACTCATCACTTGCATTCACATCCCTTTAGCCAGAAATCAGACAGCCAGACCTAGGTGTGAGGAGCCTGGGAAATACAGTCAGTGTTCCACGTGGCCATGTCCCTGGCTGAAAACTGGGGACTCTTACTATATGAGAGAGAAGCAAAGATGGATATTGGGGTTTAACTGGCAGTCTGCCATACCCCAAAAATGTTTTTCTACTTTAAAAACTTTTTTTTTGATAAATGCAGACAAGTTCTTGATTAGTAAGAAGAGTTTATATACCTCCACATCTCTAAGGGGAATGACTGCCCAGCTCTTCAGCCACGGCAGCACTCTCTTTTGCCCAGAGAATGAGGCTCAGATAGTTAGAATAAAGAGATTTGGGTAATCATAAGGGGTTGTTTTAACCAAGCCAGGATAGGTGGGAGAATTTCTCTTCTCCATTCTAGGTCAACTTGCTTTTTCTTTTCATTGGTTCTTTGATACTTTTGTTTCTTCCTTCTTTCTTTCCCTCCTTCCTTAAACTTTCATAAAAGTGGAGAGACTATTATAATGTATCCTATGTGCCCATTACCCAATTTCAATTATCAGCATTTTGCTAATCTTATTTCTCTTCCTAGAATATTTTAAAGCAGATACCAGATGTTACATACTTTAATTTCTATTGGATTAACTGAATCTAGAGTTTAAGATCAAGGTCCTCTGCCCTGGCCATCGCTGAAGACAGTGACAAATGTTTGTTCTGTGGCTCTCGCTATCCTGAGTCTTGAGGTAGCCTCACAGATTACCATTCTTCAGTTAATAATAACGAGTGTTATGGTTAACAGCACCTGTCATTTACTATGTGCATCTTGTTGGCTAGGCATTTTATAAACTTACTCTCATTTACGCCTCATGATCTTATGAGTTAAATATTATTATCCATGTTTTATAGATGATCCATATTTATATAGATTTTATAGTGTCTAAAGGTAAAGCTCAGAGAGGTTAAATAACTTATCTAGTTACTAACTGGTCACACAAAACTGGGAAACCAGGTCTCACAGCTTATAGAAGTCTGTATTCTTTTCTCTTTGCACTGTGGCTTATAACGTTTGATTAGGGGACCATTTTCTTTACATCAGCCATATTTTCCAAGCACAGGCAAGTATCTTTTACTATATTCATATTTCTTTGAAAAGAAATCATGTATGATTTGGTAACTATTTAACCTAAAAATCCCATTCGTCAATTGCATGTGGTTTATCATTTTGTTTCACTAAGTAACTATTTTTTAATTTACAAAGATTCTAAAATTTCAGTAAAATACAAAGAATAATATAATCAACACCCACATATCTTCTACCCTGAATTAACATGTTCATATTTACTTCAAATCATTTTTTCTCTGAATAAAACATGACTGGTAAAGTTGAAGTCTACTTTGTCCTTCCCAAAAGCAGCACTATCAAGAATTTGGATGTGTAGCTTTCTAGTCCATACTCTTATTACAATAAATACATAGCCATAAATAGTGTGTGATGTTTTTCGGGTTTTTTTTTTTTGAAGATTTATATAAAACATATTTATACTCCTATTTTTCTGCAGCTCCCCTTTCACTCAATGTTTGTACTTTCAACGTCTGTTGATGTTGAGATATACAGTTCTAGTTCATTCATGTATTCTATTTTATTGTGCGTGTTTCTTATTCGACAGTTTATCCATTCCTCTATTTGTAGACATTAAGATCATTTACAGTCTTTTGGAATTACAAATAGCACTACCGTGGACATTCCGTGTATGTTCCCTTGAGCACACCTCTAAGAGTTCTCTAGGATATGTTCCTAAAAGGAGAATGGCTACACCACGGGGTGTGTGAATTTTCATTTTTAGTAGACGTGCCAGTCCTCTCTAGAGTGGCTGTACAAATTTACCTTTCTACCAGCAGTGAACAAAAGCTCCTGTTTCCCCATATCTTCTAGCCACTTCTTGGTATTATCAGACTTAAATTTTTCCCCTCCAATCTGATGGGTGAAAAATACTTCCTACTTTATCTTTTTTGTGTTTAGAAGTCAGATCTTTTGCCACTTTTTTAACCTTATAAAAGTCTTTCCATCTAGTTTCTGGTGAGATGTTCTTTTTATGAAATAAAGAACTGGGAGTAGGAACACTGCCCGAATTTGCCATTTGTTAAATTTTTTCTTCTAATTTAACATCCTCCTATTATCTTTGTTTTAAAAGAGCTCTGTAATATTTTCTCACTTGAAAGATTTAACTTTACAGTTTTTTCAAAACCAGATATTTCTAACTTTCATAATCTGGATACTGGGATCTTTTTTTTAAAAAATTCAGTTAAATATTCTTCTTGCTTATACTTTTTCTTTTTTAATCAAATATCTACCATCAAGGAAAGGAAAGATTAGAAATATATAGACAAAGATAACTTGTCTTAAAAATCACCTGGAAGAGGTGTCACATATTTAATAAATTATGTGAATTGTTAGGAGTTCTAGAGATGAAGAGATAATTATTTCAGATAAGGATAATATAGAAGGGGTTGCTGAAGAGGTGATATTTTAAAGGATATAGTGGGGTTTATAGTTCATATATGAGAATGTTTTTACTCAGTTTTTCATATTGTGAAGTTTAAAATTACCTACATATTCACACAATATGTAGTGAAAAGTTTACATAGATTATGATGTATCTATTCTATTATTTAGTCATCTAGAAATGTTTTTAAAAAGTAATAACATTGGAAACTTATAATATGATTTTAAATTTAAAAATTACAAAACTGTATGTGTGATCCTAATCTGTGTTTTAAAATGTACATTAAGGAAATTGGAAGTAAATACATTAAAAATATTAATAGATTATTTTTGGATGAGTAAAATTTTTTTTCTGTATTTTCTAAATTTTCTATAAAAAAGATTCCTTTTCATAGTTAAAGTAAGTTATAGATAGTAGCCAAGGTTAAGACAAAAACAATAACCTTTTATTATTATAATATCTGAAATGTAAGCTGTTTTGCTGTGAGGCGTCACATCTGTCAGGGGTCGCATTCCTAGACGATTAAATTCGACTCCAGGTATTCTGTCTAGGCCTTTGCCTTGTTCTTTGCTAGAACAGAGTGGCTGTTCTGTTCTAAGAGCTCCGGAGAGGACTATGAGGCACTGCTGGACTCTCCTCTATTTTGAACAGGTTGTTGGGGTGCCAGTTGGGTCTACTCTGCCTTCAACAGTGAAACAGGCTGTGGCAATCAGTGGTGGCCAAATCCTCGTAGCCAAGGCCAGTTCTTCTGTCGCCAAAGCAGTTGGTCCAAAGCAAGTTGTGACCCAAGGAGTTGCCAAAGCAATTGTGAGTGGAGGTGGAGGAACCATTGTTGCTCAGCCGGTCCAAGCCTTAACCAAGGCCCAGGTCACTGCTGCCGGCCCTCAGAAGAGTGGATCCCAGGGTTCAGGTAACTGATGCTAATTGGGGGCCCTTTGAGCAGCAGCCCCTTCTAAAACATTCTTTGCTAGTGATCTTTTTTGGTGTTTGTTCTGTCTGGGAAATCTAGTAGGTTGATGCTATAAGGACTGTGTGAAAGCGTGTTAATCTTTTTCATGTAACATTTACATAGAGGTCTGTAAGTAGTTTGCTTTAAGTTTTCGTGCATGTATGTTTTAGGAAGAATAATAAAAATAGAGGATATTTCTTGATACTGCTTTTAGATCTGAAGAATAATTCTCATTTGTACTCATCTCCACTTTGGGTTGTATTTCAGGCTTAAAATCATGGTATGGTCACTTGCCAGCAGCACTTTGAGATGCTTGACTAACGCATTCTCTACCAAACAAAAGTTTAAACACCTTGAAGGTGTTTTAGGCCTTGATATGTCATTTCTGTGAGGGCATGAAAAAATATACCTAAGATATTAGATATTTACTAATTTTTGAAGGTCTTGATGAGTCTAAAGAATTGTTCAGTGAGTTAGAAGGATAGAAGGTAATGGGTGTCCAAAATAAAGATTTCAGAGGTGATGAATTGCTGGTGATGACAGAGTTCATTTGTGGTGTTGAAAATGAGTGCTTGAGATGGATTGGAAGAAATGATCTTGGAGTTTAGAAGATCAAGCAGCTGAAAAGCCAGAGGGTTAATACGTCATCTACAGGGGCATCACCAAGAATGACAGTCTTTAGCCTAGAGAGCAAGGCTATGAGTCAGGAGTCACTCTTTCGCAAATGAGGGGAGACGACTGGGAGTTCAGTAAATGAGAGCAGAAAAGAGAGGGATAAGATGGGATGGCCAAGCATGAGCCTCGCAGGAGCCTGGATTTTTTTTTTTTCTGGAGTGAGGTATGATAATGGTCTGAAAGCCAAACTGGAGAGCAAAAAGGCTCCTCTCTGGTCACGGCTCTAAGAAATTGAAGTGAGATGACAAACAGCCCTAGCTAAAGGGGCTGCTGGGGAAGTCATATCTTCAGAGGACTGACAGGTTTAATTACCACAAAAAGTGATAATGTTCAAAGAGGCTGAGGTTCTAGAGGTATGATGACCACAGCAGGGATTCTGGGGAGTATGATGAAGGAGTGTGGGAAGGAGGAAGGGAAGAGGAGATTGGTTCGGATCAGGAACTCTGAGCAATGTGAAGATGGGACTCCGCGTGTGCATGGCCGACCAGAGAGGTTTGTGCTTTTGGCATGGCTGAGATGCACAATGCACAGTGTGTAAGAGGAGGTTGGTTCTGGTAAATGGAGAGGGATGGCACTCAGTTTTAACGTTAATCCCTCATATTTGGGGCAGCTTCCAGGGTTCCTGCTTCCCAAAGCTTTGCACAGTGAGGTAGTAACAGGAGGACTAGTCCAGCGGGCTGGAAGGGCTGTGAGAGTCCTTTCCCTGTGGTGACTCATGGTTCTACAGGTTCCCTGTCATGGAGACTTGAATTCAAAGTAACTGTAGAAAATGCCATGTGTAAGACTCATGTTTAGAGGTTTTAAGCCGTGTGCATCAAGAAGTAAATTCTAAGGGGTCAGTGAAAGCTCTTTGACGTAGGTGAAACTTTAAAAAGAGGAATTATAGAGGCCAGCCCCGTGGCCGAGTGGTTAAGTTCGTGCACTCGACTTTGTCACCCCAGGGTTTCACCAGTTCGGATCCTGGGCGCAGGCATGGCACCGCTTATCAGGCCAAGCTGAGGCGGCGTCCCACATGCCACAACTAGAGGCATTTACAACTAGAATATATAACTATGTACTTGCGGGCTTTGGGGAGAAGAAAAAAAAGAGGAAGATTGGCAACAGATGTTAGCTCAGGGCCAGGTTTTTAAAAAAAAAAAAGAGAAATTATAGTTTCATAGTATATGTGCCAGTTGTTGACCATAGCATTTTTTAGCTATTAGAAAGTGAGGGAGGCGGCCAAGTGGTTGAGTTCACGCGCTCCGCTTCAGCAGCCCAGGGTTTCACCGGTTCCAATCCTGGGCACCAACATGGCACCATTCATCAGGCCATACTGAGGTGGCGTCCCACATGCCACAACTAGAAGGACCCACAACTAAAATATACAACTATGTGCCAGGGGGATTTGGGGAGAAAAAGCAGAAAGAAAAAAAAATGAAGAAGAAGATTGGCAACAGTTGTTAGCTCAGGTGCCAATCTTTAAAAAAAAAGAAAAAAGAAAGTGAGGGTGGCTAGAAGTCTTGTTTCAAATCAGGTTCATCCATTACTAGAAATTGACTAAAGGGGCTTTAAACAAATGGGGAAAATTTGTCTTCATCCACAGGTAGGGTGATTATTTCATTGATCGTATGAAGCCCAGTACTTTGAGAGTAAAAAGAGTCGCTGTTATAGGTGTAAACTGAAACTGTTCTGGGCAGACTGGGACATAAGGTCACCCTATTTATATACAGATATAATTTCCCTTATAGTTTATAGTAGACTTTTCTAGTATGTAAATTATTTTTTAATTAGCAAGGTATTTAAGAATATCAGTCTTTAAAGTATTGTACATCTAGGAAACAAACTGTAGAGTTTACTGTTTGTTAGTGTTTTTTACTAAGTATTTTATTACTCTGTGTTTTAATTTTGGGCATAGCATTGCCCTCAGTTCCAATGTATCTTACTGTTTTTCCTCTTACTTTTTTCTTTACCATTTTAGTAATGGCAACGTTGCAGCTACCAGCCACTAATTTGGCCAACTTGGCAAACTTGCCTCCTGGCACTAAACTCTACCTTACCACAAACAGCAAGAACCCCTCGGGAAAAGGAAAACTGCTGCTGATCCCTCAAGGAGCCATCCTGCGCGCCACCAACAGTGCTAGTTAGTCCACCATTAAGTCATTGGGTTCTTGGGTCTCTGGGTATGTTCATCTCCTCCACCAGAGGGGCAGTTCTTAGCTGTTTTGGGAAGTATTTCCATAATTCTGTTTGTCTTTTTTGCCCAAATGGATTTTAAACCTATACATAATTTAACTAGGTGTGGGTATACAGTCTTAGGAGGTGACACTTATTTTGGGTTTATCTACTCCGAGTTTGGGATCAGGAACAAATTATCTACCCAGAGTTTGGGATCAGGACAAATTACAGTGGAGAGGTATGGCTGCTGAGCCTGTGTTGGGAGAAAAGTGTCTATATGAACTGTAAATGAAGAAGAATTCTTCATTTCAATGGTATCTGAAAACCAGTGGCACCTGGAGAGAAGGTAGTTGGAGCCACTTTTATTTTGATGGGGATAGGAATAGGATTGAAATCAAGGGCTCTGCCTGCCATTATTTAGATGTGTATCCTGAGTTTGCCAGGTTTGGAGACGGAAAGAGAAATACAGGCTCATCCTTAGTGTTTAAGTCACAGCCCCAAGGAAATGAGGTGGTTTACCTAGACTTATATGAACTTTGCTTTGACATGTAGAGAAAAACAACTTGGATAGTGTTGAAAAGGAAAGGGTAAAAGGCATTATTTCCCTCTGAATCAGAAGTAATAATTTGTATAGCAGTCAGGTTGGTTAGAAGTTAGCCACTCTTGGTGCCGGCCCGGTGGCGCAGCCATTAAGTGCACATGTTCCACTTCGGTGGCCCGGGTCTCACCGGTTCAGATCCCAGGTGCAGACATGGACCGTTTGGCAAGCCATGCTGTGGTAGGCATCCCACATATAAAGTAGAGGAAGATGGGCACGAATGTTAGCTCAGGGCCAGTCTTCCTCAGCAAAAAGAGGAGGATTGGCAGCAGATGTTAGCTCAGGGCTAATCTTCCTCAAAAAAAAAAGAAAAGAAAAGTTAGCCACTCTTGCCAAAATGCAGTGTTTAAGCTCATCACCATTTTGTTTACTGATTATAATGAGTGATTTCCACACTCTCACGCCGGTATTTTTTCCTCATACCTAAGCAATGGTCTACCAAAAAGTAACTATGTAGGAAAAGGATAATGTAAGTATTCCAAAATTTATCCAAAGAGCTACTTAGATTTTCGTTTATATGTATTATGTCACCGAAGGGGAAATAAAAAGGGTTTGAAGGCTTTAAAGTAGAATTTGAAAAGCAGAAAAGAATGGGGCCCTGGAGTCTTTAAACTATGAGGAAAGTCTTAATTTTTTCCAAGGCAGAGGGAGACAGAAGAAGAGAACTATAAAATTACACTAAATTTCAGCAGTTTCACTGAAATCATATCAGATGCCAAAAGGTGTGGAAGCATTTCTCTGAGCACAGAGCAGTGGTTAGAAAATGTCAGCCTCACTCTCTTGATCTCCCACAACTAAGTCAAAACACCTGTCAGAGATAAGTTCTTCATCATGTTCAGAGCTGAACTAGTCAACTGTCACGCAGTTGACAGTAAATAAATTTCAGTCTTCAGCTCTGGGACGTTCTCCTCACTCTTATTGCGGAAGACGTATTTTACCAAAAAGGAGGAGGAAGATAGGGAAGGGAAGGGATGGTGCTGTACAGGAAACATCTCTCTGGGCTCCTCTGTTTTTTCTGGTAAGCCTTTTCTTAATACTTTTTATGATACTGCTGTCATTCTTCATGTTTTCAGACCTCCAGTCTGGCTCAGCTGCCGGTAGTGGTGGAGGAGGAGGCGGCGGTGGTGGCAGTGGTGGTGGCAGTGGCAGCAGTGGAGGAGGAGGAGGAGGAACGGGAGGAGCCCAAAGCCCCGCCGGCCCTGGGGGGCTGTCCCAGCACCTGACCTACACCTCGTACATCCTCAAGCAGACTCCTCAGGTCTGGTCATTTGTGACTGGTATCTTTTAAACTATTTAGTTATTTAAAAACTGCCTTTAATTTCAATGGATTTACCTGTCCACCTCTGGAATTGGGGGTCAGTACTAACATTTTAGCCATGTTATAAATCTGTATTCTTTGGGGCTTGTTTTGAAGAAGAGCAAAGAGAGATTCAGAAAGACTTAAGTAACTTATCCAAGATCTCTCTGCTAAGCTAGTGGTAGAGTTTGGATTTAAACCCACATCTCTCTGGTTTAAGAAAGATTAAAAGAAAGATTTTTGCTATGCTACTGCCTCCCAAATCCATGAGGTAATGAATAATATTAATGTACAGTTGAAAATTGTCTCTTAGAAAAGAGTAACCAGGGAGATAGTGTCAAGTTATGGTATTTGGAGTTAGGTTGGATTTAAGATTAGGAGCAGGTTTCTACCTTCTTTCCCCTTTCGCTAAGTCTTGGCTCCCCTCTAAGGAGGGTCATGGAATTTAGGTTCCAGACGTTCTTATTGAGAAGGATGCATAGTTATCAGTCTGAATGATTAAATCCAGCTTTGAGGACTAGATTGTAAAACCTGAGCTTCCAGCAGTCGGCTCTGTAACTACTCTGCGAAGTTTGAGAAGTAGGGGTAAGTGTTGGTAGTGACACTGAGAGCAGAGCTCTTCTTTTCATTGATTTTGACTGAGTTGCAGAATTGAAGGGGAGCATTGTAGCTTGCAACATGGGACCTTGTCATTTAAAGGATCAGAGCAAGCCATTTGAACTTAACAAATTACTGATTAAATTATTGGTCTTTGTTTCTAACTTAGGGCACCTTTTTAGTTGGCCAGCCGTCACCCCAGACATCTGGAAAACAGCTGACTACTGGGTCAGTGGTCCAGGGAACACTGGGAGTCAGCACATCTTCTGCACAAGGACAGCAAACATTAAAAGTCATCTCTGGACAAAAAACTACTTTGTTTACCCAGGTAAATACACACTCACCTGTGTCCCTGCCAAATACATGGTTATGGTGGTTATGGCATTTATTTAAATATTTACAGCTTATCTCTTGCCACAAAGAAATTATGGTTACATAAGAAAACAAACATTAAAGTATAGACAAATAGGAATAAAATCTTGAGATTTCGGAAAAGAGAATGAGAAGATAATGCCAGAGAGTTATTTAGATATGCAAACAGTAATGTCCTGTATAGTTAATAAAATTAGCCAAAGCAGAATGAGAAGCAATGAGCAGTTATAAAATTCACACTATTTGTGATAGGAAAAGAAAATAACCACATAATATTTCGTAAGAAGAAACAAAGGTTTTCTTGCCCCTTCACTCTAAAATTTCTCTGGTGGGGCTTCGTATAGGAGATTCTGAATGGTGTAATAGGTGATTTCAGCCACAGTATCTGTATAGTAACTAAATGCTGCATGGGGCTTGGTGCATGTTTTCACAGCGTTCTTTAGTATAAGCCATAGAATAATGACAGGAAGTTTTAACTGGGCGAGGGGTTTTATAATCATCTGCAGGAGAATCTATAGCTAGATCTCAAAAACTTAACCAGATGAAACAAACAAGGTACACAAGGATGTAGACAGTATGATACCATTTCTTAAAAAGAATGCATTTTCCATGACTGTGTGTAGATCAGCAGTTCTGAAAGCGTGGACTGGATATTGGATTTTTGTCAAATGTTTTTTCTGTGTCTATTGAGAGGATCATATGATTTTTCTTTTTTATTTTGTTAATATGTTAACATTGATTTTTCACATGTTAAGCCAACCTTGTATTCCTGGTAAACCCCTCTTGGTTGTGATATGTTACCCTCTTTTAATATATTGTTGGGTTTAATTTAGTAGATTTTGTTTAGAATTTTTGCAAGGGACCATTGGTGCATAGTTTTCTTTGTAATTTTTGTCAGGTTTTGGGATCAGAGTTATGCTGGCCTCGTAAGATGAGTTGGAAACTTTTCTTTCCTATTCACTTTTTGGGGAAGAGTTTGTGTAGAATTGGTATTATTTCTTCCTTAACTGTTTAGAATACACCAGTGAAGCCTTAATGACCTGGAGTTTTCCTAATTGAGAAGATTTTTATCTTCAATTTCAATTTTTTTAATAGATACAGGACTATTCAGTTTATTTATTTTGTCTTAAAGGGAGCTTTGGTAGTTTATATCTTTAAGGGAATTTGTCCATTTCATCCAAGCAGTTGAATTTATTGGCATAAAATTGTTCATAATTTTCTCTTATCCTTTTAATGTCTGTAGAATCCTTAGTCATGTCCCCTTTTTCATTCTTCATTTTGGTAATTATGTATCTTCTCTTTCTTGATCAGTCTAGCTAGAAGTTTATTGATTTTATTGATCTTTTCAGATTACCAGCATTTGGTTTCCTTGAGTACTAATTTCCCTTTGGTCAGATGCTCTTAGCTGTTTCAAACAGATATGAGGCCCCCAGATTCTTTAGGCAGTTCTTTAAAATCTTAGCTGATTTCTTCTTACCTGCTTATGTTGCAGCCAGTGCAGTGACTTTGTCCCTGTTCTCCCTCAGCTGAGACAGTTACTGCTGCCGTTTATTAAGGTGTAGTTTACATAAAATAATGTGCAGATCATTAGTGTACTGCTCAGTGAGTTTTGACAGGTGTGTGTACTCATGCAAGCACTATCCCAAACAAGATAGAGAACATTTCCATCACTCTAAAACATACCCTCATTTCCCTTTCCAGTTTTTTTCTATCACTATTTTTCTGTTTCTGTCACTGTACATTAGATTAGCTTTCATCTATTTTTTGAAGTTCATATCAATAAAATTATGTGGTATGTACTCTTATATCTGGCTTCTATTGTCCAACGTAATGTTTTTGAGATTTACCCATATGTATATCAGTAGTTTATTCTTTTTTGTTCTTGAGTAGTATTTTGTTACATGACTATTTTATTGATGGACATTTGGATCATTTCCAGTTTTTGACTTACGAAGATGCTCTTGTGAACATTCTGATATAGATGTTTGGTACAATAGAATAACTAGGTCATAAGGTAAGTATATGTTTATAAGAAACTGACACATGGTTTTGCAAAGTGATTGTACCATTTGACTCTGCCATAAGTCATGTGCAATATCTCATTGCGGATTGAATTAGCATAAGACTCCAATGCAAATTATGCCATGGCTACTACTTATGGACTCTAATCGTGGCTCCTCTGGTTACTAGCTGTGTGACCTTGGAAAAGTTACTGAGCTTAATCTCTTCGTCTATAAAATGGGACTGAAATCTACTCTATAAAGTTGATGAAAAGATTCAGTGACTTAAGATATGTATAGATGCTTTCTGCCATTCCTGGCACCTAGCCCTCAGAGACTGACAAATGGTATCTATTTGTGGGGTACATTAATTTTGGGCACTAAGCAATCATTTAGACCAGGAGTCAGCAAACTAAGCCCAAGGCTTTCTGTTTTTATAAATGACGTTTTATTGGAACCCAGCCACACCCATTTCTTGCTATAACTGTAGAGTTCGGTTGCAACAGAGCCCATATGGCCTGTAGAGCTGAAAATGCTTCCTCACACCATTTACGGAAAAAGTTTACCGAGCCTTGATTTAGACCACTAAAACTAGTTTGTTGAGTGGTTCTCTGGTATTGAAATGCTAAGCCTTTACTAGCCTAGAGCACCGTTAACTTACCCACTTAAATCTGGCCCTTCTTGGTTAGATTTTCATGTTTAAAGATTATTTGTATCTTTAAGAGCACTTTGGACTCAATTATTTTGATAACAAGCGGCATATCTTTGGAGACACTGCTGCCAAATAGTGACTTGCAAATGCATTCATTTGCTTCTCCATTAGGGGTAAAGAAACATTTGTAGGTGAAAGGCAGAAACTGGGGAGCTTGTTGGAAAGGTGCACTAACACCTCATATAGCTTTGATTAGCAAGACTTTCTTAGACGTGCTCTAATTCTTGAGGCATGTGTAGGTAAGGAATAGATCGTGCCTGTTGACCAGGGCAACATTATTACTTCAACTCATTTTGTTTCTGCAGGCAGCCCCTGGGGGACAGGCGTCTCTGATGAAAATATCTGATAGCACATTGAAGTCTGTGCCAGCCACGTCACAGCTCTCAAAGCCTGGAACCACGATGCTGAGGGTAGCAGGAGGGGTTATCACAACTGCTACTTCCCCAGCTGTGGCCCTCTCAGCAAATGGTCCTGCACCACAGGTGAGGATTAGCACGACAGTAGAAAATCACGGTGAAATGTAAAAGTAGTAAAAACGTAAGGAAGATATATTCCACAGGTATACCAGTAGGCCTTATGTCTCCCTTGTAAAAAATTGAAATGTAATTCACATACCATACAATTCACCATTTTAAAATGTACAATTCACTGGTTTTTGTTATATTCTCAAGGTTTTGCAACCATCACCAGTATCTAATTCTAGAACATGTTTTAACTCACTCCAAAAAGAAACTCTGTACCCAATAGCAGCCACTCCCCATTCCCTGCTGCCCCCAGTCCTAGGCAACCACTAATCTACTTACTTTCTTGTGTCTGGCTTCTTTTGATTAGCATAGCGTTTTCAAGGCTCTTGCATGTTGTAGTATGTATCAGTACTTCCTTCCTTTTGATGCTGAATAGTAGTCAGTTTTATGGATACATCACATTTTGTTTATCCGTTCATTAGTTGATGGACATTTGGGTTGTTTCTACCTTTTGACTATAATGAATAATGCTGCTATGAACATTTATGTACAAGTTTTTGTATAATTATATGTTTTCATTTCTTTTGTCTTTTTACCGTGTGGAATAGGAATTGCTGGATTGTATAGTAACTACATTTAACTTTTTTTTTAAAGATTTTATTTTTCCTTTTTCTCCCCAAAGCCCCCGGTACATACCTGTATATTCTTAATTGTGGGTCCTTCTAGTTGTGGCATGTGGATGCCGCTTCAGCACGGCTTAAGGAGCGGCACCATGTCTGCGCCCAGGATCCAAACCAGCAAAACCCTGGGCCGCCAAAGCAGAGTGCATGAACTTAACCACTTAGCCACAGGGCCGGCCCCTACATTTAACATTTTAAGGAACTGCCAAACTATTTTCCCAAGTGGCTGCACCATTTTAGAGTCCCACTAGCAACGTATGAGGGTTTCAGTTTTTCCACATCCTTACTAACACTTGTTCTTGTCCATTTTTTTTTTGTTATAGCCAATCTAGTGGGTGTGAAGTGATATCTTCTGGTTTTGACTTGCATTTCCCTGATAGCTAATGATATTGAGCATATTTTCATGTACTTATTGTCCATTTCTGTATCTTTTTTGGGGAAATGTCTGTTCAGATCCTTTGCCCATTGTTTATTTGGGTTATTTGTCTTTTTGTTTTTCAGTTATAGGAGTTGTTTATATATTTTAGGTACACGTCTCTTGTCAGATTTACAAAAGTTTTCTCCCACTCTATGAGCTGTCTTTGCACTTTCTTGATGGTATCCTTTGAGTCACAAAACTTTTTAATTTTGATGAAGTCCAATGTACCTGTTTTTCTTTGATGCTTATGATTTTGGTGTCACAGCTAAGGAACCTTCGCCTAATCCAAAGTCACAAAATTTAAGCCTTTGTTTTCTTCTAAGAGCTTTATAGTTTTAGCTCTTACATTTAGATCTTTGATCCATTTTGAGTTAATTTTTGTATATGGTGTGAGGTAGGGGCCAAAATTCATTCTTTTGTTGTAGATATCCAGTAGACCCAGCAACATTTATTGAAAAGCCTGCTTCCCCTTTACTTGTCCCAGCACCCCAAGGGCTTTTATAGTCTGATTTTGCTTACTTCTCAGACTTCATCCCCTGCAGCTACTGCTTCTCCTCACGTGCCTGTTCACACTACTCTGCTGTTCCTCAAATGTGCCATGTTCTTTCATGTCTCTCGGACTGTCTCCTCTCTGTCTTCTGCCAAGAAACACTCTTTCATTTCCCCCTTTCCCTGTCGTGAATCTTGAAGATTTCCCTAAAGTGCCATATTTTTCCGTGAAGCTTTTTCCAGTACTCTCACCACCCCACCCCGAGGCAGTAGGAGGTTTCCTCCCAGCTGTGATGGTGCTTTGTCCCTGTGCCTGCTGTAGTATTCCTCACGGTGTGGTGACCCTCTCTTCCTTGAGGGCTTGTCTCTGGGCCCTAGCATTTAACACTGTGCCTGTCATGTAGTAGATGTTTGTTGAATGAATGTGACAAAATTTAAAACACTATAGTGAGTTTTTAATAAAGCACCTTTTATTACATTTTTACGTTCTGACGTTATGTCCTCCTACTTTTTGGTGTTGAAATACCCTTTTATAAAGTGATAGAATAGGTGGTGAATGTTTTTTAATGTGGTAACCCTATGATACCTCCTTGTTTTAAAATTTAAAAATTTTTCTGCTCCATGAAATCCAAAAGTGTAGGAACTGCCGAACTAGAGAGACAATCTTTTAAAATGGCATGACATTTAATAGGTAGGTAATAATAACTAATAGACAATATTTATTGAGTATACTACATGGCAGTCACTGTTCTAAGTAAGTTACACTGCTTTCTTGTTAATTTCTGTTATTTCTGGCCATGTGGATGAGCAGTCAGAAGGAGCAGTTCCCAGTTCATCATCTACAATAGGTTCTGTAATGAAAACTTCTGGGCAGCAACAAGTGTGTGTGAGCCAGGCCACCATGGGAACCTGCAAAACTACCACCCCCTCTGTCATCAGTGCCACATCCTTGGTGTCCACACCAAACCCTATCTCTGGAAAAGCCACAGTATCAGGTCAGTTGTATTATAATGATACTATTTCTCTCTTCCTTCTTTGAGCTAGAATATTTTTGGAAGGTCTTAAATAATATTTTGTATGTTAAGTTGTTAAAAATAATAAACTCAGCAACATTTTCCATATAGCTGCTGTTTAGATAAATTATTCTTTCTTTTTTTTTTTTTCTTGGTGAGGAAGATTATCCTGAGCTAACATCTGTGCCAGTCTTCCTCCGTTTTGTATGTGGGACACCACCACAGCATGGCTTGATGAGCAGTGTATAGGTTAGTGCCCCGGATCCGAACCTGTGAACCACAGGCTGCCGAAGTGGAGCATGCGCACTTAACCACTGCGCCACCAAGCTGGCCCTAGACAAATTATTCTTATTTAAAATCTATGTATATTTTTAAGTCTGAGATGGTTCCATGGATTGAATAATAATTTTTAAGTGATGTAATAAAACCTTAGCCGTCTGGAACTTTTGACTATTTTAGCTGCTTTTATAATGTAACTTTATGGAGAACTGAGAGTTTGCTCTCCTTAAAGTAGCAATTTTTCTTTTTAAATCATCAGTTTTGAATGGAACTCACTATAAAATATCGTATATCTCTTTGCTTTAATAAACCAAATATATAAAATATAAATTAGCCTTGATGACTCCAAGTCCTGATCTTTGGCATTAGTTATTATATTGGGCAGCATTAGAGTGACACATCTGAGGTCTGGTGAGATGTATGAGATCTTTGTGCGCACGCTAAATGGCCCCAGGAAGGTGTGCCTTTTACTTTGGGTAACAAATCCTACAGCTAGATTGCCTCAATTAAAATAACTTTCTTTAGTTTTCTTGGCTGTAAAATGAGGTTGATAATATGTACATCATAAAGTTGAGAGGATTAAATGAGTGAATATATAAATGCTTAGAATACTGTCTGACATGGAGTAGACATTATATAGATAATTGCTGCCTTATCATTCTTAGTGTTGTTAGTCCACATTCCCTTAACTGCAATTCTAAAATCCAAAGGGCCATGAAAACCAAAGTTGTTTTTTTCATAACTAATTTTAGGGCAAAATCTGACCTCCATTGACAGGCTATTCATACAACTTAATATGAATATTCATGTTTTGCCACTGAAATACTAATGTTTCTGATTACATCGTGCTGTCCCAGATGCTGGGGGGCTGATAGGATGTACAGCGCTGCTTTTCAAATTTGGAAGATCAGTTCTGTTTTTCTACAGTCCAGTACAGATACTTTTGTAAAATACAATAAAAATGTCGCAGGAATGTCAAGCTGTTATAGAAGTTTCTGAATACTCTTAATTTCTGTATGTATTGCCATGTTGCAGTTGATAACAGTTGACTAGCTGGCACTGATGACACAGAAAAAGCTGAGTATCACCAGTATATACACACACATAAATATAGATAAACGCACACACACTCACACCTTTGGATAAAAGTTTGTGGATATTGTTGTTCTTTTTGTTGTTATTATTGCCACTACATTTCATACATGACTCCAAACCAAGCCCCTGTATCTCGTTTGCTTTTTGGATAGTTAGAGACCAGAAGATCAAGGCTGGTGTGTTTTTCCCGTGACTTCCATCTCCAGTTAGGACTGGAGTAGAAATTGTAGAAAGGAATGCCCTTCTCTTTTCTGATTAAGTTTTTAACATGCAGTAAATGATGTCTCTGCTTTAAGTTCTGGTTTCCTAGGATGCTGCTCATGAAACTTTCCGTGTAATGTTTTCACAAAAGAATCAAACTGTTTCCTGACTATTAATTTTTTTGCATGTGTATATACTCTTTTTTTTATTGAGGTATAACTTAATTTTTAAATTATTTTTTTAGTAAATTCAGTTTTGGATAGGGTCGCCATTGCGACTGGAGCAGAGTGAGCAAGGGAGAGAAGAATACTTGGAGACAAGGTCAGAGTGATGGGGGCCAAAACCTATAGGGTCTTTGTAGGTCGTTGTGAGAACTCTGACTTTTAGTCCAAGGGAAGCCACTGGAGGGTTTTAAGCTACGGAGTAACATGATCTGTCTTACCTTTGAACAGGATCACTGGCTGCAGCATTTAGACTAAACTCTGGGGCACAAGGTGGAAGCAGGGAACAGGTCAAGAAGTAGACACTAAGAAAGAAAATTCGATGATGTATCAGGGAACTCTGGCAACATCAGACTAAAAGGAGTTCCAGAAAGAAAACAGAAAATGGTGGGAAGGAGATGGTCCAAGAAATGAAACAATTGATCCCAGAATTGAAGGGCACCAACTTCCAGGTTGAAAAGGCACAGTGTCCAGCGGAGTGAATGAAAGATGACTCACATGGAGACGTAATTTGTTCCTGAAATCAGAAGACCGGGGACAAAGAGAAGATCTTAAAAGCTGTCAGAGAGGAAAAAAATAGAAAAGTTCAGAAACTACATTATCATTGAGCTTCTCAGTAGCCATGCAGGAAGGTGGAATATTACTTTTCAAAATTCTAGAGGAAAATTACTTTCAGCCTAGAATTCTCTAGTCAGCCAGATCATTACTGAGTGTGAGTGTAGAAATATTTTCTGACAGGCAAAGTTTCAAATGTATTTTCTCCGCACCCTGACTCAAGACATTGCTAAAATATGTGTTTTACCAGAGTGAAGAGGTGTAGACTTAAGAAGAAGAAAACAGGATCCAGCATAGAGGGAAGGCAGAGGGAATTCCCAGGGTAACGGTGAAGGACGTTCCCAGGATGTGAGCTTTGCAGCAGGCCTAGAATCGACAGTCCAAAGTGAGCGGATCAGAGAGCTCCAGGAAGAATAGCTCTTAGAAGAAGTGCAGCTATAAATTATTTAGGAGATTTGACTGTGGAGAATTGTATTAAGGGGTGGTTTATTTCGTTTTTGAAGGAGGCAAGCAGACTTAGTAAGACGCTGAAACAGAACTAAGCAAATGGAAAAGGAGGTAATTATTAACTCCAGAAAATAAAATGGAATCCAGTACCATGGTATTCTTTGGATCACTGGAGTCACTACTCTCTGGAGTATGGGGAGGAGAGGCTCTAAGTGCCTTACAGTGCTTGCGTACCCTAAGAGTAAGTCAGCATGTAACATCAAAATGTTGCATCAAAATGAGTCAAGGCCTACAATATGCACATTCTTTTTAAATACTGAAATAAATATTTAAAGAAAGGACCAGAAGGGTTAAAAGTGCGGGCTCCTGGGGAACTAGGTGAGCATAGGGAGGTGGGGCAAAGAAAGGCTATTTTTGGTTATAAGCCTTGTAGCACTTTCTTACTTTTCAACTGATAGGCACGTAATATTTTGATAAAAATAAGCATTTGAAAAATATGAAAATAATCACGTCATTGTGGTACTCTCTGAGCGCACATCTCAGTGAATACTTAGACTTCGACTGATTTAACACTCATCTATACCAAAGAAAGATTTTGTTGTTTATTCACGGCTTTGTTCTAGAAAGTGTTTAAGATTATTCACTTCCTTAACTTAAACCAACTGCTTTCCAGTGCCTAAAGGATGCAGTTTTTAAGTAGTTGTCATGTTATAACATGTGTTGTGTCTTGTGTGCTGTCTCACAATAAATGTCCTTTGTCATTTTTCATGGCCTTCTGAATGCCTAGAATGGTTTTGTAGTGAAAATGAGAATATGGAAATTTCCTTTAAAGATAAATGGGAGATGACCCTGTCTAAAATAAGTAGAGAATATCTGATGTTTGAAAAATAAGGGCTGCACAGAGATAGGAAATTGTAAGGCATGGCAAGTAGACAGATTAAGTATTAGGTATATAGGGACAGTGCAAAGGAGATACAGATAAATTGCGACCAAATTAAAATGGACTATGAATGCTTTGAAACTAATTTGGGAAACATTCTCTAGGTAGTCGGGAACCAGAGAAGGTTTTTAAGTGGGAAAATGACAATTATCCAAATCAGAATATGAAATTTTATATCCAGTTTGTACATATCACAGCTACGAAACAAATTGTCATAGTTCTTTTCCATGTTTACTATTTTCTATCTCAAAATGTTAATACTGGTTGTCTTTGCAGTAGGACTTTGGGTGACTTTTTCTCTTTTCTTTTAGTTCTCCTTTTCCAAAAATTTCTGTATTTATGACTGGAGTAAAAATAAATCATTATTGTCACATCATTGTTTCATTGTGAAATCTACCACATCCATTGCCTCATGCTTCCAGCTCTTTGTTTATTAAAAGGGTAAATGTCTTAAAGCTTCCTCCTGTGGAATTTTCAACTGAGTGCTAAAAAGGGCAGGAAATGTAAGGAAGCATCTGATCTTCAGCTCAGCCTTGTCTTCCAACTTATTTTAGGATTGTTAAAGATTCACTCCAGCCAATCCAATCCCCAGCAGGCAGTCCTGACGATCCCCAGCCAGCTCAAACCCCTCAGTGTGAATACGTCGGGAGGCGTGCAGACTATACTGATGCCTGTGAATAAAGGTAAGTCCTTCAGCCATGGGTTGTGGTTGTCTCCGGGTCTGTCTTGTGGGGACAGTCCGTATTCTGTCAGTTGGTGACTGCTCCTCCCTTGTGCAGCCTGCCTGTCAGCTATCGCAGTGTCCCTGCACCTTGAACTCAGAGCACTGACTCTAGGACTGAAAGTAAAGCCCAGACGGGCCATTGGCTTCTAAATGCTGCCCATTTCTGAAGTGGAGTAGAAGGGGAACGTTTTTAGCATTTGTGAGAGTTCAGGTTCATTGGATTGATATTTTCTTAGTTTAGTCACAAGCCCCCGCTAATAGTGAACAGCCCACCTCGTCAAATCTCTGTTAAAAAAGGACCGTACCATTTCTCTTCTACTGGAATTGTTTCTGTGCTTTTAGTTTAAAATGGGCTATCCCCTGGGAGTTAGATCATCCTTGTTAAAATAATTTCTATATTTCTTATATCCTCCTCTCCTTGTTTGCCTGTTAGTGGTTCAGTCATTTTCTGCCAGCAAATCCCCTACCATTCTGCCTGTTGCTGCCCCGACACCAGTCGTCCCCAGCTCTGCTCCAGCAACTGTTACAAAAGGTACGTGGTGTCTCATGGTATTTTTGCCCAGAAGTTTTATGCAAGACATTGCAGTAATCTGAGTCCCTTGAATTTTCAGCATCTGTGAATCAGTCACTTCAAAAATATGTCGAGTGTTTCTATAGTAGACTTGACGTTGAGGGAAATGCAGAGATTTCTGCCCTCCAAGAAGTTATAATCAGATTGAAGAGAGTTTCAGTAGACAGCAAGCAATGATTGACCAGTGCTAGATAAGTGATCTGGAAAATGCTTGCTGAAATCCTTCCATCTGGGGTGTCTGGTCAGGGTTGGTGGGCTGCGGAGGGGGAGAGGACTTTGTACGGGACGTGGCTTATAACCTGGGCTTTAAAAGGGGGAAGCATCTTTAGCTGTGGAGAGGTCAAGGGACATGCTGCATTAAGGGGACAGTAGAGACAAGGCCTCAGGGCTTGTTTGGGGGAGTAGACCAGTTAGAGGGACTCACCTGAGATGGATAGTGGTGCTAAAGGAGCTTTAGATAGAGCCAGACTTTGACAAGCTGACAGTGGGGACATTTCTGACTATTGAGTAGACTGAGATAGTGCGGTGGGTGAGAGCAACACATTTGACCTCTGTAACATCTACAATAATGATAGGGGTTGGTATTGCTACCAGTGAAATTAGCAAGGTCACTCCTACAGAAATTAAATGTTAACAACCTACTAAACATTTCTGAGAGAAATTAAAAAGAACTAAATAAATGGAAGGATATGCCATTATAGATACAGTAAATTACAAATAATTTATTGTACATATAATAAATTATGTTAATTTACTGAAAGACCTGATATTATCAATTCTTCCCCAAAAAATGACATACAGATTCGATACAGCTCCAATCAGAATCCCTTTTTGTTGTTTTTGTGTGTGTGGAAATTGACGAGCTAAGTCTAAAATGTGTATGGAAATGCAAAGCCCTAGAATAGCCGAAACAGTCTTGAGAGTGAAAGCGGGGACTTGGGCCACCAGGTATACTGTAAAGCTGCAGAATTGAGGTGTGCTGTTGCTTCAAGAATAGACAGAATAATGGGCAGAAGAGAGAGCCCAGAAATAGATTCACACGTATGTGGTCACCTGATTTATGACAAACTCAGTAGGTTGTTCTTTTCAAGAAGTAGTGCTGGGTTAATTGGATATATCCATTTGGGAAAACACTGAACCTTGGCCCCTGCCTTACTTACACCAGAAACAAAAGTTAATTTGAGTTGGATCATAGACCTAAATGTGAAAGGTAAAACGATAAAGCCTCCAGAAGAGAATATGAGGATATTTTCATGACCTTGGGCAAAGATATTTTGTAGATAGAACACACAAGAAAACTAGCCATAAAAAAAAAGCAAATTGATGAATTGGACTTTATTACCACTTCCTCACTTCATCAGAGGCACAAAATTAAGAGTGAAAGTCAAGCCACATACTTGAAGATACTTGCAGTAGATACATCTAACAAAAGAGTCATATCCAAAATATACACAGACCTTCTAAAAATCGGGCTGACCCAGTGGTGTAGTGGTTAAGCTCGTGTGCTCTGCTTCAGCAGCCCCAGTTCACGGATCCTGGGCATAGACCTGCACACTGCTCATTAAACCATGCTGTGATGGCATCCCATATACAAAACAGAGGAAGATTGGCTCAGATGTTAGCCCAGCGACAATCTTTCTCACCAAAAAAAAAAATCTATATGAAAAAGACTGACACTGATTTTTTTTTTTTAAAGAGCAAAAAATGTGAACAGGTACTTCACAGAAGAGGATATCTAAATACCTCTTAAGCATATGAAAAATTGTTCAACCTCATTAGTCATCAAAGAAATGCAAATTAAAACCATAGTGAGATACTGTTGTATCACCAAAATTAAAGGGACTGGTAGTGCCAACTGGTGGCAAGGATGTGAAGCAGCTGGGACTTGAATACACTGCTGGTGGGGCTGTAAATTGAAACAGTCGCTTTGGAAAGCAGTTTGGCAGTTTCTAATAAAGTTAACATGCATCTGCCTTATGTTCCAGCAAATACACTTTTAGGAGATGCGTGCATGTGTCCACCAAAAGACATATACAAGAATGTCCGTTGTTTTATTTATTTATTTAGTGAGGAAGATTATCCCTGAGCTAACATCTGTGCCAGTCTTCCTCTACTTTGTATGTAGAGGAGGAAGCCACAGCATGGCTGATGAGTAGTGTAGATCCGCATCCAGATCTGAACCCACAAACCTGGGCTGCTGAAGCAGAGCACACCGAACTTAACCACTAGGCCACGGGGCCAACCCTGCATCGTTATTTTTAATAGCTAAAAAGATGCTGACACAAAAGAGTAAGTACACTGTGAGTCCAGTTATATGAAATTCCAAGTGGACAAAAGGTGGTTATCTTTGACAGGGAGGAACTGCAGAAAGTGTAAGGGAGCCTGGTTGAGTACTGGAAATACTCTGTATCTTGACTGGATGGTGGGTACGTAGGTAGGTATATGCATAGATGAAATTTACTAAACTGTACACTTAATATTTGTGCATTTTCTGCAAGTTATGCATCAGTAAAAAGGGGGGAAGGATATACTAGTGGATCTCATTTGTAGACCCTTGTTATATAGGAAACTACTGAAGGATGTTGAGGAGGAAAATGACACTATAAAGGTCCTTGGGAAATTGTCTGGTTCTGATGTACAAGATGGTTTGTAAGGAGAAAGATTGAAGGGAGGGAAGCTGATGCAGAAATGGTACGTGTGTGGTCAGGGTTTTTGGTCAAAGAAAACTGTGGAAGTAAGGGAAGACACATGCACCTGAGACATTGCTGTCTTCCATCAGTAGCTTTGGTCATAGAGTCATGCACTGCATGAGGACGTTTCAGTCAGTGACGGACCATGTATACCACAGAGGTCCCATAAGATTAGGACCATAGAGCGTAGATGTGTAGTAGACTATACCATCTAGAATTGTGCAGGTGCACTCTATTGTGTTTGTACAATGGTGAAATTGCCTAACAACGCAGTCCTCAGCTGTTGTTAGCCCTGTCGTTAAGCGACACATGACTGTTATAAGCCTAACGTGATTAGTATGGATATTTCCAAGCACAGTGGATCTGATGGTTGCTATCTGCCTTGTGTCTCAGAACACTAAGATAATGCTGGAAGGTGACAAACTTAGCTGGAGACATGATATCCTTAGAACAAGCCAGCATTGTATTTTAATGTGGCGTTATTCAAGGCTGTGTGTGTGTGTGTGTGTGTGTGTGTGTGTGTGTGAGAGAGAGAGAGAGACAGAGAGAGAGACAGAGAGAGAGATCTCACATAGCAGTGTGGTTGGCCCTTTAAGAAATATCTAAAAAGTCATTTTATTGCCCCGCCTTGTCATGAGCTTGGCGTTGCTCCTCCTGAGACCCAGGCTAACAGTTCTTCCCTTGTCTGCTGGTCCTGTGATGGTAGGCACCATCTCAGTCCCTGGCTGTGTCCCGCGGCAGCTGGTGTGGCAGTTTCCTCACTGAGTTTCAGTGGAAGCGCTTTTGTTTCTGCCCGCACGTGTCCTTCCATCCTTGAACGCTGACAGCTCTTTCTTTGTTGCTCTTCCCTTGTAGTGAAGACTGAACCAGAAACACCTGGGCCGAGCTGCCCCTCTCAGGAGGGGCAGACAGCAGTGAAAACAGAAGAAAGTTCTGAGCTGGGAAACTATGTCATTAAGTAATTATTTCAGTCTTTCCTTGGGGGATTCTGCTTTCAGGCTTTTATGGTACTTTTTAAAAGCGATTCCTGTGACAGCTGCATCTCTGTAGAGGTGTGTGTCTAGAGTTAAGCCCCTCGATGGGTGGAGACCTTCTGTCCGGGTGTAGTGAGCACGTATTGCCACTTGACAGCAGCTCACGAGTCTTCATTTAGCACGGTGACGTGACCTGGGACAGCTCTTGATCTGCCGCTCAGAAGCTCAGGTGGAATCACACGTCTCCCTCCAACTGGGCTCGCCAACACGGACTTTCTGTGCTGAATCCTTGGGGGTAGAATTTCTCGTAATGTCATTACTCAGATGTATGTACATTTGGTGTCTGAGTCTCCACATACCTGCCTGATCTTAAACAGCTTCCTTTTCGTGGGCCGTGCAAACTCATGCTTTTTCTGAAAAGACTTGGTGAGATTTTCTAATTTCCAAATTGGGAACCCGCCTCTGACTATGTATTTTGAAGTATCTGAAACTGCCGGGGACAATAGAAACCTAGCTGCTTCCACGTGATAGGTGATGGGATGAACTCTAACAACCCTGAGGTGGGCATTTGTGTGATAGAATTTTCTGCTCTAGTGGCACTCACGCTGCAGAAAGATTATGTGGCTGTTTAATTTAAAAATACAGATAAAATGGGGCCGGCCCCGTCGCTGAGTGGGTAAGTTCGGGCAATCCGCTGTGGCGGCCCAGGGTTTTGCCAGTTCGGATCCTGGGTGTGGACATGGCACCGCTCATCGGGCCATGCTGGGGCAGCGTCCCACATGCCACAACTAGAAGGACCCACAGTTAAAAATAGACAACTGTGTGCTGGGGGTTTTTGGGGAGAAAAAGGAAAAATGAAATCTTTAAAAAAAATAAATAAAAATATAGATAAAATGTGATGTTTGCATTATTTGCCATTCTTGGCATCTCATCTATTTATTTAGTCTTGACTTTTTCTTTTTGAGCATAGAATGCTCTTGGTTTATAAAGAAGGCTGTCTATGGAGGGAAAGACATCCGATATAACTAGTTCAAGTGGTAATTCCCTTGGAAAGGGGGAGTATGTACATAAACTCATGTGTGTATACGTATGGCTAGAAACTGCTACATGTATTTACTACTTTATTTTCTTTTATCCTCAGGATTGACCATTTAGAAACTATTCAGCAACTCTTAACAGCAGTAGTTAAGAAGATTCCATTAATCACTGCAAAAAGTAAGACAATTATACTGAAAATATGGATCCTTTTTTTAAGCTATTGAGTCAACTGAATTCACGTGGTATTGTAAATTAATACTGATGTGATAGTTATCTTAAGAAGCTTTAGCTACAGCTCATTTGCAGTGTTTTAGAATTCATCATATCTTGGACAACCAGTCAGTCTTTTACTGTTTTCACTGTGTCTGATCTGTAGAAGGAATTTTTTACATTTATTATTTTATGTAAATATAAATCTATATATAACTAAAACTGCATTAGTTTTTAATGTTTATTAATAAGGAAAGGAATTAGTATTTGCCTACTTGTTACGTGCAGGCTCATTACATTTACTGTCTCATTTAATCATCTCCCATGGGATGGGTGGTATCATCTCCATTTTACAGATGAGAAAACCGGGGGTAAGCAAGGTTAAGTAAACTTAGTCAACATCACTAGCTCTGGGTGGTGAGGCAGATACAAACCCAGTTCTCTTTGATTCCAAAGCCAGTAATCTTTCATCTGACACTCATTGCTCACTTTGTAGAAATGCAGGATTATCAAGACCTCTAGCAGTGAAGTCTGCTCTGTCCCTGCCCATTGTTAGCAAGACTGAGTGGTCTGCTTCTCAGCCCCCGTTGATCTGACAGAATCGACAGCCCTTCCTGAGGGCCAGGCATCCTGGGGTCCTGAGGTGTATGCTCTTGGGCAGGGGCACCATGAGCAGCTGGAGAGAAGGGATGCGGCAGGTTGTCATTTCGAGCTCATGGAATGCGAAAGTGACAGGCCAGCCACAGACTTCCCTGCTCACTTTTTGTCCAGCTCTTAGAGCAAACAAATTTCCTTTTTTTTTCTTGGTTGAAGTTCAGGGGGTTATTTCGAGGTAATTTGAAGTAAACTTTCAGTAACATTTTCCTAGCCCAGCAGAAAAAAATGCAAAACTCACTCTCATTTTTTTTTTAAATTTTGACATAAATAGAGAATAAGAGAGCTGGGAGGCAGTTCAGAGACCATCTTTCCTAACAGTCTCCTTTGAAAGATGAGAAAACTGACGCCCAGAGAGGGGATGTGGATTGCCCAAGGCCACTGAGTGAGCCAATGGCAAGGCCAGGGCTGGGTCTCAGGTCTGCTGCTCCCGCTCCGAGTGGGGTGCCAGTTCCACTTAGTCGAGTAGGTACCACCTACCATGAAGCTTGCCCTACCAAAGTCGATGATTGCCCACGGAGGGGCATTTTGAGTACACACAAATGGGATGCCTTCTGTTTTCTGTTATGCTGCCTCTGAACTTGCCCAGGAACAAGCATATATCCAGTAAAGAGGTCTGAAGAAACTTTTGGACATGCCTCCAGCAAATAAGATTTGATTTAAATCAGGGCCATCCCGGTGGCAGAGTGGTTAAGTTCGCATGCTCCACTTTGGCAGCCCGGGGTTTGCTGATTTGGATCCTAGGCGCAGGCCTATACACCGCTTATCAAGCCGTGCTGTGTCAGGCATCCCACATACAAAGTAGAGGAAGATGGACGCGGATGCTAGCTCAGGGTCAGTCTTCCTCAGCAAAAAGAGGAGGATCGGCAGCAGATGTTAGCTCAGGGCTAATCTTCCTCAAAAAAAAAAGATTTTATTTAAGTCATAACAACTTTATTCAGAGGTTGCTGGATATGTGCTTTCTAGGTGAAGATGCCAGCTGTTTTTCTGCAAAGTCTGTGGAGCAGTATTACGGCTGGAACATTGGAAAAAGGAGAGCTGCTGAGGTAATCCCAATGTCTGCCTATTTAACATGCCAACTGCCACCCAAGAGCCTGGGGGGAGAAGGAACCAGAACCCACGTGCATCCTGGCTGCCTCCACAAACCTTGTCATATGAAACAATGACACTTGCAGCATATTTTGTTAAATATTTGATGGTAGAATTTTTTTTCTCACTTAAAAATATCTCATTCTTCAAAGACCTGTAGCTAGCCTTGAGAGGTCTACTTTCCTTCCTGCATTGCTAAAAGTTTCTAAAAATTTTTTATGAATTTCAGTATATTAAAATGAAATCAAGTATTTATTCAGTACTTAACGTGGCAGCTACTATGCCAGACAGTGGGGTGTAAGAGGAAAGAGCATGTACGAAGCCGTGCTTGGAAAGCCGCAAGAATGTCAGTGTGATGGACTTGGGGAAAGTTGGGGAAGGAGGGAAAGTGGGGGAACATAGGTTGAGACCAGGTGAAAACATTATAGGCCAAACCTAGGAGTTTCAGTTTAATTTTATAAGCATTAGGTGGAAGTTCTTTTGCTTTTTTTTAAGCTGAGGAGTAATCATTTCCTTAGGAAAAAATGATTCTAACAAGTGAAGTTAGCATGGTTGTTTACAACTGGGTGATTTGTTTGAACACGCTCCTAAGTGAAAGAATTTTGTTATGGTTCAAAACTTTTTTTTTTAAGTGGCAAAGAGCAATGACAATGCGAAAAGTCTTACAAGAAATACTGGAGAAGAACCCAAGATTTCACCACCTGACTCCCCTCAAAACCAAGCACATTGCTCACTGGTGTCGCTGCCACGGCTACACCCCGCCGGATCCCGAGAGCCTGAGGAGCGATGGGGACTCCATCGAGGATGTGCTGACCCAGATCGACAGCGAGCCAGGTAAGCCGTCGGCGGACTCGCGGAACCTCGTCGGCAGCCTGAGAGCTGGTTCCATGGAACACACTCACATCTCTTCGGCCTCTGGTGTTCCGGCCGCTTCAACCCCAGCCGTTTTCAGTGCTCTCTCCTTCAGCTGAGGTGACAGGACCGAGGACTCGAAGAGTTGCCTTGGAGAACAGAGCCTTTGCTCACCTCTGGCCATGTGTCCTTCCTCCCTCCCCCCAGTACAGTCCCTGCAGAACTGTTTGTGCCCAAGTGTCCCCAGTGTTGTGCCCCAGCCAGGAACATTCCAGCCCATGCCATACAGCAGGCACACGCTGTGTGTTCAGGCGTCCCCCTCCTCAGCACCATTTGTTCTTTGAAGACTCTCCTGATCTACTTCCTCTCCTCCAGGTGGAAGTGACTTCTTCCCTTGTGACCTTACAGCCCTGATAAACGAGACTGCAGTCTCCTTGGAGACGGGGATGCCGTCTTCTCTGGTGCTGTGTCTCTAACCTCACTAGGAGGTGCACTGCCCGGTGTTGGAGGCACGACCTAGACAAATCGTAGTGTTGCAGATGAAATGAATTGTTTTATATTAAAGACACAAACAGCTGTGCTGTATGGGGCGGGGGATGGGGCATAAAGGATGTGTGTGGAGAAGAATATTTTGAGTTTTCACCTTAAAGAATAAGGAGGGTTGTTTTCTCCTCCCAACCTCATTTCTGTAGGAAAACAGAAGCCCCACCTCCCAGGCTGAGGGAACTGGGAGCCCAGGGATGGTGTGAGGGTCCTTTCAGATTGAGCGCAGGTCCCATTTTCTCCGTGAAGCTTTCCTGAGAGCCCTAATGCAGGGTGACCTCTCCTTTCTCTGGCCTCTGGTGGCACCTAACATCAGAATCTTGAGGGTTGGTGGGATTTACATGTCTAAGCTCTTTGAGAGCAGAGACCGTGGTCGTTATTCCGTGCTTCACTGGTGCTCTACGTGAGGCACGATACTGTACATGTGCTAGGCTTTCTGTTGACATCACTGATTAGTTTCTGAGCGCCCAGTCAGTAAAACAGAAGCAGCCAGGAGCTGGATGCTCTGCCACCACCCTGCTTGGGGCCCTAATGCCTGTCTTGTACCTGGTCTGGACCTCACTCATCCATAAAGTGAAGGGGATGCGCTAGAAGATTCCTAGAGCCCTGCTGCCTTTACAGTTCTGACCCTCTTTGTCAGGCTTTGTATAAATCAGCGTATGAAAGGCTGATGCACAGTGTTTACTGAAATGTTAACAGTTCTTACCTCTGAGCAGTGAGCATGCGAGTGATTGTTATTGTCTTCACTGTGCATTTCTAAGTTTCCCGAATTTAAAATATGAAAACAATCAGTTTAATATTTTGGGGTTGGGAGGATGGCCTAGTTTTGGGCAGCAGAAGTCAGAATGATGTTCTGTCATTTTTGTCTTAGATTGCGGTTACATCACATCTATCTTTTTTTTTTTTTTTTTTTTTTTTTTAAAGATTTTATTTTTTCCTTTTTCTCCCCAAAGCCCCCCGGTACATAGTTGTGTATTCTTCGTTGTGGGTTCTTCTAGTTGTGGCATGTGGGACGCTGCCTCAGCGTGGTCTGATGAGCAGTGCCATGTCCGCGCCCAGGATTCGAACTAACGAAACACTGGGCCGCCTGCAGCGGAGCGCGCGAACTTAACCACTCGGCCACGGGGCCAGCCCACATCACATCTATCTTAACACGAGATGCCTGTCTGCCTCATGAATTACCATTTCTCATGACTATAGAGCCATAGAATTTTAGAACCAGAAAGAAGGTCAGCTCCCTTGATACTTACTGAGCCTCAGACTGTTGGCCTTATGGAGATGGAAAGTCCTTTTCTTTCGTCACCACAGCTGTCCTAAGACTGCTTACCTCTCATTTAGAGTGCCCGTCGTCATTCTCCTCTGCTGACAGCCTCTGCCGCAAACTGGAGGACCTGCAACAGTTTCAGAAAAGAGAGCCGGAGAACGAGGAAGAGGTGGATATCCTCAACCTCTCGGAGCCGTTCAAGATAAACGTCAAGAAAGAGCAGGAAGAGAAACAGGAAGAGATGAAATTCTGCCTGCCACCAACACCAGGGTCTGAATTCATTGGGGACATCACACAGAAGGTAGGCGCTGTGGCCTGTGATGTTGCTAGATCACAAGCCAGGTGCGAGGTGCTGAGATGGCCAGCCTTATAAACTGACACCAGACTCTCCTGGTGAAGTACATCTGTGATTTACTTCTGCGTGTAAATCGAGATACGCTCTCTGGGCCACCCCTCTGCCCACGGCAGGGCCCTTGGGCAAGAAAATTAGTGACCTGTGAAAAGATTGCTTCTGGAACATGGAATTGAAGCCAAGGCAGCTAGATAACAGGCGGTTTTTCATTTCATCTCCTTTCTTCTCATTTGTGTCAGTGGCAGCACCTTTCCCTCATGAGGCACGTCCTCATGTTTCCAAGTTATGCTTCCGCGTGTGAGCTTTCCCTGATGTGTGTCTAGCTCCCGAGTGCCCTGCCTGGGGCAGGTGCGCCACACTGCCCTGTGCTACGGGAGAGTCAGTTACCCACAGGATGGAACTCAGCAGCTCTTCGGTGTCGCCACCTGCACAGCTGCTGAGACCCGGAGGGAAAGACAGCGTTTGTGTTCATTTCCAGGAGAAAAACACGGGGCAAGACGCAGCTCCAAGTGCATCCTCATCAGCTTCTGCAAATAGGGCCTTAGAGTTTGATTGCAGGCTTTCCAACTTGTTAAACCCACTGTGAGAATTCGTGGCAAATCCCGACAGTGTTCTCCAATGAAACAGATGTAGGGATAAAAGCAGGGTTTTAATAGCATTTGTAATAATCACTCAGAAACGTGGAGAAAGAGCATATCATATACTTTCAGTGGTTATAGTCTGTGTTCCTTCCCTGCGAGTTTTATCCAGAACAGTTGTAGAGTTATCTTCCAGTGGGCATCTCTCTGGATATCAGAGAAGTCTGCTTGTTTGGAGAGATGCTGTTTTTAATGTAGAAATAGGAACAAGTGGTTTTCTTCTGCCTTTCCAGATTGGGATCACCCTGCAGCCCGTGGCACTTCACAAGAACGTGTATGCGTCGGTGGTGGAGGACATGATTTTAAAGGTGGGTGTCTGCTGGCAGCAGAGGGTCCATGAGCCACCCTAGAGGCTAAAGCCCTCGGGGGCTGGCCCAGCAGGACAGTCTGATCCCAGGCTCTTGTGAGTAAGGGACAAGGACAGAAGTGGAACTGAGATGACAGGTTTTAAGATTTCTCATCTTATTCAGGCTTAAAGTTTTCTCGTTTTTTTTTCTGATTTTTAAATGAACTAAACTGGTTCCTCTGAGTGTTGAAGCATCTGCAGTAAAAATTTCTGTGCTGAAGTCACTCTGATGATATTTTTTAGTGCCATTTCAAGTGCTTTTTAAGAAGTCTGAGGTGACAGTCAGTGCTCTCATTGCTTGAGGAGGTGACAGAAGCAAAGCTTTACTCCACATGTCACAACAACAACAGAGAAACAGCCACAGCCGTCCCATCCCTGGAAGGGGGATGACAAAACTATTTTCCTTACCCAGCCTGAGCCCAGCTCACAGTCCCTTTCCTGGGGGATCCTCTCCAGTAGCAGGGAGACCTGACGAATAACCCTCCCCTGTTTTCCTTTAAAACAATGTCTGATTAATGAAAATTACCCCCATTCGTAATTTCTTAGAATCATGGCCTCTATCATTGTAACCTATTATTCGTGGTCCATTATTCGGACCTTTAATTTTTCCTTAAGGACTTTTGTATCCAAGCATCAGTTGTATCCTTAGATAGAACTGTTTCGAAAGTTTAGGGTGTGGGATGGGGTCAGGTGCATCCCTCCTTGGCAGCGAGCAGATGGCCATTTCTGAGAGTGACAGCGTCTTCTGTTGCAGGCCACGGAGCAGCTGGTGAACGACATCCTGAGACAGGCTTTGGCAGTTGGCTACCAGACAGCATCTCACAACAGGTACCGTTACCTCTTTAGTCGGTGATGTCCGGCTTACAGATATTTCCTGACAGTTTGGTTGCCCATCAGGATGTTTTAGGTTTGCATCAATGCAGTAGGAGATGGAGGTGTCAGTGCTTGGGACGTTCTCAGTGCCAGACAGACTCAGGTTTTGCTTGGTCATTTTGAGAGACTCTCCTGGTTGTGAAAGCCCAGCTGTGCCCAGAGGCCTGTGTCTTCCCAATCGCTGCTTCACAGACACTCTTCAGCAGGACTCAGTTAGGTTACAGGGTTGGTTGAACAAATACGAGCTCTTTGCAGGTCAGGATAATGACAGTGTCCATTATGTGTCACATATTGGGGCCAGGATTGCATATGTTATCTAATTTGTTTTTCGTCACAGAAGTCTTACTCCCTTTAGAAATTGGGAAACCAGGCTTTGAAAGGTGATCTTCCCTGGCTTTCCCAGAAGTGCATGATAGAACCCAGATTCAAACTCAGATCTCATTGGCTGTAAAGCCCACAGGCTCACCACTGCTCTCTGATCATCATTGACTGGGACACTGAATTTCTCTCTTTTCTTAGGAATGGTAGACAGGTAGCCTTTGTTCTACATCCTGGCATTCCTTCCAAAGGAAACAAAAATTTTATCCCATTGCGTTTAAAGGCTGTCGTAAATTTATAAAATTGTAACAAAGTGCGTGAGGACCCAAAGAGGCCTGATGGGAGGACTGTCAGGTCAGACTTCATGGGAATATGATGCCTCGGGCAGTGCCGGGGAGCTCTAAGAAAACAGAGGGGAACAAAGGAGTTCAGCAGTGCCCCTTACTGTGCTGCTGAAACCCAGGCAGGGCTGAGCGCCTTCTGTGGCCCTGGCTCCCTCCATGGTCCTGATTGTGGAGGTACAGCGACTTGGGTGCTTTTGGTAAGAACATCTAATGTCACATTTGGCCTGGCATAGCTCCTTCTCCCATTTTGCCCAGAGGTGGGAAATATGGTCCCAGAGTTCTGAGGTGCTTTGGCTCAGCTTTCACTATAAGACTGAATTATAGAAATATTATCTTTTCTCTTGTGCACTTTACTTCCTTTCTCTTTTCTCAACCCTCAGATTCTTTTTTTCTTAACCATTCAACCAACTTTTTGAAATCCATCTCATGCATGTGACTGGGAAGTCAGATTTGAGCCGTGAATAGGGCTGACTGTCAAGAGGGTGGGCCAGATCTTCGCCAAAGTGAAAAGGAATCAGTGGGAAGGGGAGAGAGAGAGTGCTCCTGCCACTCCTTTCCCCATGGCCCTAAATCAGGCCTTGTCACTCATCATTGTCCCCTTCTATTAGAACCCGTGTCGGGGGGGTGGGCCTTCTGATAAATTAAGTGATTAAATTGTGCAATGGTCAAGAGAACTGCACCTAACACCCTTTGTTTTTTGGACCAGGATTCCCAAAGAAATCACAGTGAGTAATATTCACCAGGCCATTTGCAACATTCCCTTTCTGGACTTCCTCACAAACAAACACATGGGGATACTGAATGAAGATCAGTGAATGGAGTGAAGATGCCCCTAGAAAAGCAGGATTTGAAGCTGCATCGGAAGCTTTGAACTGTGCTGACTCTTCTGTTTGGGGAAGGAGGTTGTTTTCTGTGTGCCTCAGAATATGACGGCTGCCAAACCATTACCTCCACCTAAAGCAGTGTAACACCAGAGCGTTCAGTCCCAGATCAGATCCTTTTAGGACAGAAGTGTGTTTCCTCATTTTGGAGTGGAGCTGTGAGTGGATGCATGCTCTGTCAGCTTGCATTTGTCCACTCTCTGTGCAGGCTCCGTGAGAGTCTCAGAGCTGGGCCGGGCCACATGCATCAGGTCCTTCTCTCCTCTGGGTGTCCTCGGGGGCACCTTGGGCCTGAGTCTCCCTCCAAGAGGCAGAAAGTGAGTCTGGTGGACTAGAGATCTCACCCATTCTGTGGGCTGGGGTTCCAGGCAGCCCAGCTGTCACCTGGGAACATCTGGAGGAGGGTTGGCCCTCAGCACTCAGCGGGTGCCCGTGGTGTGGAGGATCCACAGTCAGCCCATGTGAATGAGCTACAGGAAGTGGTAATCACGTGTAGAAAAAATAAAAGCCTGGGAGGCTGCAAACAGAACAGAATTCTTGTTTCATGAGGCACAGGAGCATTGCTACCACCAGTCTCAGAGCACTGTGAAGGGACACACAGATCCCAGAATAGTCAGGAAAAGGTTTCACTATAACCAAGAAGTCATGTTAGTGATGTGTTAGTCACAGACAGCACCCACAAACCTGGGCACTTGGCAGACGCGTACCAGCTTTGCGTACGTCCTGGGCAGAGAGCTGGTTCCACACCATTTGCATGGTCTGCAGGAGCTTCTGCTACTGAATCCATGTTGGGTGGTTGATGGGGAGCAGCCCCTGGGATGGGCCTGCTGGGATTGTTCATCCTATCAGTGTATTTGGTGTCCTCCTCTTCTCTGTTGAGGAGTTTTTCCCAAGAAGAAAAGTGTTTCAAAGAAACACTCACTTGTGAGTGCCTTAAAGGTAGAGAAATGACTGCTGAAGCTGAGAGACAGGGATGTCAGTGCTCAGAAGCGGTGAGAACAGACTGCGTGCATGCGCAGAGCCCCTCTCAATGGGAGGAGAGGTGAGTAGGAGGAGGAAGGTTAGCAGTGCCCTGAGTGATGTCCAGTTCCATTAGACACTCTGTCCCCATCTTCCCAACAGTCTATGTGGAAGGAAAGGAAAGAATTTACTCTGTTAGGAATCTTCTCGAAGAAAATTTGAAACCTGTGAGTCACAGTCAAAGAAACTTATCCACGAAACATAATTCATGTTTTCATGAGTCCTATAGATGTTTGAGTCAGAAGAAGAAGGAGGGAGGTGACTGTGAGAAATCGCCCCTTTTTATTCAACATCTGGGGATTGCAAATGCAGAAGGAAATCTATTTGGTTAGGCCTAGGCCATGCCTTGGCTGAGTATAAAATAGCTTAGTCGTGAAGGCTCAGATAGTCTGTACGTGAACTGCTCCAAGCGGGGTTACTGGCACATGTACAGAGGCATTCAGCGTGGACTGTGCCTGAGACCGACAGGGCGGAGGATTCGATCCCAGTGAGAGCTGAGTCATTTGTTACAGGTATGAACGCCCAAGGAAATTACCTTTTAGCAAAAGAAAGTTAAATGATTTAACAGTCCCCATATGTGTTAATGTCTCACATGTATTTGTATCATAACGTGTAACATAATTGTGGAACAAAAATATCTACAATAAATCTTTTAGTATTTGTGATGGGTTTCTCTGAGTGTGAAGCACTACCCTCTGGGAGGATTCCCCTTGCCTCAGGTCAGAAAGAGCTGGGATGGGGCAAAGGTACAGGTGTTTGTGTGTTTAATTCTTCCACTTCTTTTCAAAAAGAATTTGCAGCTACGGCGAGATAAAGGGTTACAGTTACATAAAAGTCTGAAAAACCTTTGGAAGATCCGTGTTGACCCTGGGCATAATGCTTTCCGACAGCCTGGGGCAGAGGACGCCTCCCTGAGTGAGCTCAGAGCCAAGGCAGAGCAGGAAACAGCGCTGTCTGTGGTCCAGGAGAAACGCTCTGGTGTGTTGGGTTTGCCTGTGCTGAGGTCTGAAGGAATTACTTGGTCCTGCTTTGACCATCTGCTGTCATGATGTCTAAAAAATTACCAAAAAATGCAGAGACATTTCAGAAATGACCACTTTTTATATCCACCATGGAGAACTAAAGGCTTTGAAAGGTTTGGCTCTTCAACGGCAAGCGGTTCTGGGGAGGAGGCATGTGATGCAGCCCAAGCAGGTAGCTTTCCTGGGACCCAGCTTCACCCACTGTCAGCCTTTGGGGAGCGAGTGGTCTGGAGCAAGGAGAGTAGGGCCATTGCAGAGATCCCTTCCTGTTAATTGTCGCCGCCACGGTTTTGACAGGAGTCACAGAACAGATCGTTAAAGTTCACTGTCACAGGCGCTACCTTAGTCGGGGACTCCCTCTTACTGACTGAAGGAGCCTGTGTGCATGGGGCCAGCGGAGGTGACCCTGCTCCCAGGGGAACGGCCCCCATCTCCCCAGGGTGGGCTGCAGGGCCACCAGCCAGCAGAGCCAAGGTTTTCTCAAAGATGCTTTTTAAGAGTTTGGCCTAAAACCCTGGAGTTATTAGAGAAATGAAAGTCTTGGTATTGTGATGAGTTTTTCTGAGTGTGAAGAGCGGTGGGACTCGGGTCTGAATGACTTTGGGTGGAAGGACCTCAGGGGCTGCTGCACTGGGGCTCCTAGCACATCCGCATGGCTGGTGGAGGCAGTGCGTGGCAGCGCCAACTTTGGTTATGGAGTGATTAATAGTGGACTCTTTGGCTGAAGTTAGCAAACAGAGTGTTTTTTATTTTTTAAAAAACTTTTCTCTTTACAGAATTAATACAAAAATGTTTATTATATAGACACTTTAGCAAATGTAGTAAGGGGTAAAAAATTTTAAATTACCCATAATTCCCCTTCTCAAAGATAACCACTGTTAATATTCCCAGTGCGTTTCTGTCTCTATCTACGTATATTGTGTGTATGATGTATATGTGTTGGGACCACATAGCTGAGACTTGTCTCAGTTGCTTCTCGAGGCCACTCCAGTAACACGATGTCAGGCCTTCCCACAAGGGCGTAGAAAGCAGTTTCTTCTTCAGAACCCAGATCTCCTCATAGTTAATGAAGTCTAGTAAGAAAGGTTATGGGGTTGGGGTGTTTGTGAAAAGCTTTCTGTTCTGGTGCATTCTAAAAAGGATGTCGAGCAGGCACACCTGTCTCCCAGCGGTCAGGCCTGAGGCAGTGGTGCTTCCCACCCCCCCACCCTCGCTGCTGCAGAGTCAACGCTGCCAGGAAGGGGCACCCTGCTCTGTCCCAGCCGACGGCCAGCGGAGCTGATGGGTCTGTCTGTAGAGCAAAAGAATGACTGGGCTTCCCGGGCAGGCTCTGGGGGAGGGGAGGGCACTGCCAGCTGTGCAGTGTGACAAGCTCTGGAGGGAAGGACTGTCAGTGGTGTCAGATGAACCAAAGCTGCGGATGAGAATAGAGCCGGCTCGCTGGGAGGGGGGAAGGGCGCCTGGGCAGGAAAGAACTCCAGCAGCTGTGCTTTGCCGGCATTTACTGTCTGCGCACCTGCACGCGAACGCATGTTCTAGCACGGCAGCGGGTGCTGGCCTCTCTGTGCACATAGGGAAACGGGAAGCTTCAGCTGCTCACAGCTCGGGCGTGGAGAAGCCAGGAGTTGAGCCCACGACTAGCTTCAAAGACAGTCCTTTTGTCCTAGGCTCCCGGGGTGGGGGGTAGGGAGACATGTGAAAGAGGGGAGGTTGGTGGCTTCTGTGAAATCGATAACGCCAGTGTGGCCTGCAGTCCAAAGGGAGAGTTCTCAGGATTCACAAGCCTCCAAGGGACACCAGCAGTGGCCGTGATACGTGAAAGTCCTCGATACCAAGAGGAGGACACAGGAAGACGTATGAGAAGGTGCTTGTTTATAATTAATTTAAAGAAATAAAGTGACAAGAAATGGAAACAGTGCATTTCTGCATTTTAGTAAGATCTGAGATTGTACAGTGAATCTGTGCACTTCCCACAGAATGCCCAGTGGGCAGGCTCTTTTCTCTCCAAAACATCTAACATGCGAACCAATGACATCTGAAATAATAGAACCTTTGTGTAACCATATGGTTTTGGTTTTCCCTTTCAAATGATTCTCTCCGAGCATTTCCTCTGCTGGAGTGAGGGAGGGGCTGTGCCTGCCGGAGCTAGCACCTCAGGGGATGGCCCCCTTTGCAGCCTGAGCTGGAAACACGGCCTCGCCTCCACGCTGAGGCGGCTCCAAAACCCAGATCCCCCTCCTGCAGCTTAAGTAAGTGCTCACCAGACTGGAGCCCGTGTGGGCTGGAGAGGGATAAAGACCCACGGGGAAATCCTGAGTTTCCTTGCCAAAAACTATCCGAAGCTTGTGCCCCTAGTCTCTAAGAAGGAACATAAATTCCTTCAAATGTTTAAAGGACTGCTGTGCAAACAGGGGACCAGGCTTGTTCCATGTGGCCTCACTGGCTGGAATTTAGCACAAATGTCTGGAGAGAGCTGTCTTCCTCAACAGGTAGTAAGCTCCCTGTGACTGAGAGTATGAAAGTAGGGCAGGCGTGAGGGCAGAGGTTGCTGTAGATGACATTTTGAGGTCTTTCAGGAAACGAGGCTAATGCTGCCTTCTTCCCAAAAGTGCTCCCAATTCTTAGTGTGTATGGTAAGTTCCCTTCTAGTCATCAATATGTTAAGGGAAAAAATTAGAATTAGTAATAAAATGGGCTCAGAAAGCTACCACAAGGTCAAAGTCATTCATTCATTCAGTGCATCAAACACTCTCCCAAGAAATGTTTCATTAAATCTAAGGGTCACCTTGGCCATAAGGAAGTTACGTCTTTGACATTGAAACCCTATGATTGATATTGTCTCTTTTGGAAACTCCTTGCTGGTTACTCAGCATCACCATGAGTCCCATGCGGGTGACCACCTAAGATTTTTTCTACACCTTGAACTTGTGGGGCCATTTGTAGGACTATCCAAGGACAGCACCTTGGGTTACCGTAGGTTATAAATTATACAACCTGGGGAAACAAAGTGGACATAACTGGTTCTTTCGAGGACCTGTTAATGTCCATGTTCCTCAGCCCCGATGGACCAATTCAGTTCACAAAAGAATTGATCCTCAAGTTCTTCAGATTTAAAAACTGAAGGATGGCCAAAATTAAGATCAATTAAAAACAGATCTGAAGCCTTCTGCACGCTTCTCGAGGAAGAAGAGGATGGCTGAGGCCCCGAGTGGAGCTGGGCGGTGCCGTGTCCGTCTGAGCCTCTGCACCAGGCCCGCAGCCCTGGCGGCAGCTTGGAGAGGAATGGTGCCCCACAGTGACAAGAGGGACCCTTCCCCTCCTCTGACAGCAGGGGAGCATCCGGTCCGAGAGTTCACCCCGTCCCCTGGTGGCAGCGGGCTCTGACCCACCCCGTGGCACTCTCCTCTTGGTGGGCAGTCACACGTTGAGGATCCGGGGAGCTGAAGTCTGAAAGATGGCTGAGGGGTTAGGAGCAAACTTCTTCCTCGCCTCAGGGACCTGAAAAATGAAATGTGGCCACGTATCAGTGGGCCTTTTCCTCGACTTGCCCCCTCCCCTCAGCTCCAGGAAAAAAATTCCCTCTTCCCATCCTCCCGAATGGTCCGTGGGGAACATCCACACTGGGCAGGGTCACTGCCTTAGTAGGTTGGATGGCACGAGGACCTGTAGTCTGCTCCCTGAAGCCCCCTTTGGGTGGAATCAGGAAGCTGAGTCATCCCCACCTTCCCTCCATCTTCTCTTCTCTCTCACACAAGAGCCAGGGCCTGGGAAGGCTTGTCACTAGTGCCCAGTGGTCATGGGTAAGATGGGGATTTAGGAGGGGAAGAGACTGTTCCCCCAGAGAAGCCAGCACTAGGGGGACACCCACCTGGCTAATGACAAAGACGGACCTTGGTTTTCTGTTTGTTGAGGGACGATTGGGCACTCAGACACAGCTGTCCCTGGCCTTAATGCCACGTTACAGCATCAAAAAGACTCCTAGTCCCTAACCTGGAAAAAGGCCCCATCCCACACCCCTGCAGCCCTGCAGCCTGGAGCTTCAGGCTGACCTGGAAACTGGCCCCGGGGCTGCTCTCCCATCCGGAGCTGTGGGTTGTGACGACGGTGGCGGGTTTCGCCTTTCTGGATCTCGATGGCTTCACTGCAGTCCAGGCCTGGAATTCCTGTCTGGAACAGAGAGCACAGTCACAACCTTGCCCAGGGTCAGCCATCCCTTCCCCTGACTCCCCTGGGGTCAGTGCCCTTGCCCCGTGCTGCTGGGACTATTCCTGGCCAATATCCACTGCTGAGATCCTGCTTCGGCTCCAAGTGCGCCTTTCTCCTCCAGAGACCGAACTAGCAGGGAAAGTGCGTGCCCCAGACAGACCCAGTTCCAGGGTGCAGCAGGCCTTAGCTGACCTGCCCTTCACTTCTGAGTGTTCCACCGCGCAGTCCTCACCCTGATCCCGGAAGGAAGGAGGAGCGGAAACCTCCTTCCTCTTTGCAGATGAGCAACAGGCTCAGACTGCGCAGGGAGTTGGGGAAGAGCTCAGTCAGCACCCATATCTTATTTATCCCAAACTCGCAGCACCTGGTATGTGCTGGGCCTCAGAGACAAGGCCCAGCCCTTCCCTCCAGTGCTCCCTGTGTTGTCTGCAGCCACTTTGAGGAACCCTGGAGGCCCTGGACCAATTGCTCGCCTCCAGCCCAAGTCACTGGCAGCCCTTATGTCCAGAGGAGGAGCTGGCCTGGACAGGACCCAGCACAGCAAAGGTCCTCCACCCCTGGTTACGACTGAGAAGGAAAAATAAGGCTCAGTGTTTACTTTTTAATAATTTGTCTTAACTCCTGCAAAAGAGAATAAACCATAGTGACCATCTCAAAAAACTACAAGATGGTCTGGCTTTTGCACGGCTCTGCACGTGGACTCTCGTGCATGGGATGCTGGTCTGCGTTTGGTAAAACTGGCTCCCTGGAGGGAAGGGACAAAGGTGGCAGAGCCCAGCTCCACATCCTCAGAGTAGCATTCTTTTGAACACAACTTAATTCCTCAATTCCTCTGAACAAAAAAGACCTATTTTAATTCTGTCAACTCCCCAACTAGATGGTGAGCTCGGAAGGCAGAGACCAGTGTCCACAGGAGCCCCTGGCCGAGGTGATGTTCTCCAGCCAGGGGCAGCACCCACATCTCGGCTGGGTCCACTCTTGTCTTATCGCACCCACAGCCCTGGCCAGGTGTCAGGCCCTGAGGTCAACAAAGTGGCCTTTTCTCCCTGGCAGCAGCACAGCTGGGCACCACTGGGCAGGCCGAGAATGCAGGAAGCAGCTGTGTCTGTCCGGGGTCAGCACTAGGGTGCCAGGAGGCGAGCTGGGCCAGGGCCCTATCGGATCATTTTTGCTTCTGAAGCCACAAGGTTCCAAAGGCCAGCTGCTCGAGCCATCTGCTGCTCTCTTTCTCCTGGGGAAGCAGTCCTCCCCTGGGCGTGCCCTTCTGTCACCAAACGGAGCTGAGCCTTGGGCCTGGCAGCCCAAACCTGCTGCCACAGGGGGGCTGCAGGGGTCCCAGAGCAGGAAGCGACCAGAGCCAGGGGCTAGAGCAGTGCCTGTGGCTGCTCCTGGGGCAGGGCTGGTGCTGGAGCCCTGGTGAAACGGGGCTGCAGTGGGGATGGAGAAGGGACATCAAAGATAGAACCAGCCAGACATGGTGACCGCCCAGGAGAAGAGGTGACTGCCCAGAGCTGCTTTGCTCTGGCCAAAGAAGATAATAAAAATACAAGACTAGCCGAGTGCACTGTGTGCCTCCTCTCACCAGGCAGGTTCCACACAGTCCACCTCATGCGGGCCTCAGCTGGACCCTGAGGGCTGCAATCCCCCACTGAGGGGCAGGGGCCGCCTGGGGCAATGTGGGGAGCCCTGGACCGAGGCTCTGGAGGCCTGGGTTCTCAGCCCAACATGGCTTCAAACAAATCTCGTAACTTCTCTGAGCCTTAGCTTTCTCTACGGGAAAGGGGGCTACAGATCCACGGGCACGAAGTGCTGAGCCTTCCTGTGGGGCGCTTGGGAAGTGGGAGTCAAGCCTTGTGGCACTTTCACAGCCCTTAACTGCCTCTCCCAGGAAGGAAAGAGGAGATGACTGAGGAAGGCGCTCTTGTAGAAGTGGGTGGAGCTAGAAGCTGGGCAGAGGGAATTCTGGAGGGGAGGCTCCGGGAGGAGCTGGTCAGGAGGAGGGCCGCAGGCTGGCTGGGGGCAGGATCTGCTGTGCCCACCTGGCCGAGCCAGTGAGGCAGGTCCATTCTCACGTGGAGACCAGGGGCTGAGCGAGGAAGAACCTGCTGGGGGAGAGGCGTGGGCCAAGTACTGGTACCTTTGGTTCCCTAATGTGGGCATTTTCTTTGCTCTGGAATTTCTTTAAACAACGTGCTCAGGTAATGCGCATCTTGCAAGAAGGCTCATGCCAGGTGTGGGAGGTGAAGGGTCCCAGAGGTCAGCTGGCGTGGCACTGGGGGGAGCGAAGTTCAGCAGTGGTCCTGTGTCTCTGCCAGATTTGGGAGTGTGGGGGCCCAGGCAGCCAAACTCTGGCTTGTTTCTGCTTTTCAGATGAAGAAAAGGCTGGAGAGGCCAAGGGACCCTCCAAGCTGATACACCAAAGAGTGAGAAGTCCAGAGAGTCGCACTCGGGCCAGTGCTCTGCCATCGCTGCAGGACGCAGAGCAGGAAATGAAGGGAGTCAGAGGAGGCCGCATCTCGGGAGACGATAACCTGTGGGGTGTCTGAGGCGAGACGCACTTGGGTTCCATTCCCTGCTCTGTGTGGCCTTGTGCCAGCTGCTCAAGTTGCTCATCTGCAGAATGGGGACAGCAGGAACTGAAGTGATTCCAGAGGCTTCCTTGGGAAGCCTGGGGAGGGAATCCGTGGGAAGTCCTGAGCCTGGTGCCTGGGACTTGCTAAGCAGAGAGAAATAACTGGTACCTTTAGTGTCACTGCAGCTGGGGTGCCATCTGCTCAACGCGGGTGAGGGACTGCTTCTAAACGCCCAGCCTTTGCGTGAACACGCCCACGAGGAGGAGCTCAGCACCACGCAAGGCAGGCAGGCGGTTCTGCTGAGCAGAGAGCGCTTCCTCCCCCGCGCTGAAGCTGGCTCCCTGCCAGCTCCGCCCTGTCCTGCTCCTGGCGCCTGCACAGCAGACATTTGCGGGGGCTGCGCACCCACGACCTCTGCCGCCCGGACCTCTCCACTCAGGCCGCTCCAGCTGGTTCAGAGCCCCATCCGGCAGCGGTCGGAACCATCCATGGCCTGGCTGGGGCCCGAGCGCTGCGACTCAGGGTCTGCTCTGCCCGCGACATTCCCACAGGCGCTGTGGCAGTTCAGCTTGAGCTCCGTGAACACAAGACCCACCCTGCAACCACCGCTCCCCGACAAGTTCCGGAACAGCTGCCCACCCGTGAAGGAAGGAGCCTCTGGGGAGATGGAACGTTCTGCATGTCTTGACAATGGTGGTGGTGCCCAGGGGTGTACAAAAGTCATCCAGCTGCTCACTTACAAGGGATGAATTTCCCGTATGGAAATTATACCTCAATACAGTTGATTTTTAAAATAATAAAATTGAGGGAGAAAGTTCATACCTTTCTGGCCCTTTAATTCCACAGGTAGCAATTTATTATAAATTATGGTATGAGCAAAGACTGAGCTCTAAGGATGCTTATGACGGAAGGTATTTTTTTCTCTAAGAAAAAGTTTTTTTAAAGGCAATACATGTACGTGTTAAAAAAAAAAAAAAAAGCAACGGTTCAAAAGACACAGAGTGAAAAGTCAGTCTCCTCCTGCTCTGGCAGCGTCCATCCCCCTCCCCTCCCTGCCTCTCCCCAGAGGTGACCATTGCCTCACTCAGAGATGGCCTGTGCTTATTTGAGCAGACTTGTGTATATCAGTGTCCCTTTTAAAAACACACATAGGAGACACGCTGTCTTGCATCTTGCTTTTTTGACATGTACCTATTGGAGATCGTCTGTCATCAGGCCGTCCTGGGCTTCCCAGTAGCCCAGCTTACGGTGGAGCTGTAACTAACCATCCAACAGCAGAGGACAGTGGGATTGTTTCCACCTGCTGCTGTACAATGTTGCGCACACCTTATAGGGATGACCCTTAGCTGCCACCCCTTCAACACCTGTAGGGAAACCTCCTGGAAGTGAAGTAACTGGATCAAAGGAAGTGTTTTTAATAGCCCCAAATTAGAAATACACTAAATATTCAATGCCATGAGAGTAGATTAAAAATATTTGGAGATACTGATCTATCTATAGATTTATAGATGGATAACTAGATAGATCAATGTATGGATAAATGTACACCCATCCGATAAAGTGCTGCACGTCTATTAAAATTCCCCTTGCGGAAGAACATCTGGTAACATGGGCAGCTATCCACCAAAGGTGAAAATGACGTGCACAGTAAGAATCTAACCATGTAAGAATTATAAATGGATATACACTCAAATGCAGGTTATGGGCTAGAAAGTTTGGGGTGGAGTTAGGGGATATTAATTTTCCTTGTTGTCATTTCCGGTTTTCCTACTGTGAGTGCATATTACTTTTGTAATAAGAGAAAGAAGGCAGAAGGCCCTCAGGTGTCCCGGGGCAGCGCTGAGGCGGGGGTGTGGGTGGGGAGGACCCACAGACCTGTCCTCAGCGAAAGCCAAGTCAACGGGCTTCAGTCGCTCTGTGGGATCCCGAGGGGACCACCGGCTCGGGAGCCCTCTTGGTCCTCACCATTAACGCCCCCCCAGAGGGCACTGGCCAGAGGGAGCTTGGGCAGGTGGCCTGCGCGCACTCCGCCTATGGCTAGGCCCACTTGGTGGAAGCAAGCCGATTTTAACTCGGTCGAAGGCAGGGCTTTCTGGCAGGGCTGCCCACGAGGGGAGCGGGCTGTGAGTGAGGTAATGAGCCACTCGTCCCCGAAGGTGCTCATTCACTCTGAGGCTGGTCAGGGAACAGCGAAGGCGACGCATGCAGTGCCCAGGGACCAAAGGGGATGACCTGAGAGGCCACCTGCCGCTCTCGAAGTCGTGTAGGATGGTAGCTCCAGGCGCCCCCTCTTTCCCACCCACCCTGGTCCTCATGGCTCCTGGCCTCAGTCTCCTCCGACCACGGGCTCTGGATACGATGCGCTCCCCTGCCCCCAGCCCTGTACCTGTACGACGTGGTCGCTGCTGCCGCCGCGTCCGCGTCGCCGATGGGGAGCACGTAGACCCCCCGGGCGGAGGGCGCGGGGGGCTTGCCCCTGCGGCCGCCTGGCCCCGGCCCGCGCTCCTGCGGCGCATCTCTGGGCCCCGCGGGCGCCGTCCACACGCCGAAGTCCCGCTGGTACTGAGTGAGCGGCACGTCCCGGCTGGGGTTCCGGGCGCCGGCGGGGGACGGGCCCCTGCGCGAGGAGGCGCCGCCCGGGCCCGGCTCCTCGCTCTCGAGTTCCGAGTAGCTGTGCAGGGTCAGCGGCACTGCCACGTCGGAGCGGTCCAGCTGGTTCCAGCGGCGCGCCAGGCAGCAGAGGCGGCTGATGCAGGGCCACGCCATGCCGGCCCCGGCGCCCGCCGCTCGGCTCCCCGCGCCCCGGGCCGCGCCGCCCCCGCGCGGCGTCCCCGCCCCCGCGGCCCTCCCCGCGCCGCCGCAGCGCCGCCCCCTGGCCTGGGGGTAGCCCTCCCGGGAGCGGGCAGGGCTCGGTGACAGCCTGGCGGGGCCGGGGCCCGGGCGTGCACGGCTGGAGCGTGCGCCGGCCGGGGAAGAGCGCGGCTGGAGGGGCGCAGAAGCGGGGATCGGAGAGGAGACCGAAGCAGCCTAGAAGCATTTACAAGTGTCGAACTCGAAAACTGCTTCCTAACGGAACCCGAAGTTCCCTAAATGTTATCTCACGAATCGGATCTGGCTCCCAGACAGAGGCCCGGCCGGCAGCGACTCCTCGCTCACCGCGCTCGGCCAGCACCCGGGCGCAGGCCGCTCGGCGCGGGGGTCTGGTCTCGCGGACCGGCCGGGGCTGCTGCGTTTGTGCCGGGCTGACCCGCGGGGACTCGCGGGCACAGAGAGGGGAGGTGCAGCGACGCGGAATCACAGGGAAGACCTGGGGCCATGCTTCCCAGAGGCCGCGGGTTTGATCCGCCTGTGAGTCACCGACTATTTGTCTTTACGACGTTCAATCTGTGACAACCAATCCAGTCCTCACTGAGAATTAGCATTAGCCCTCAACTGACCTTCCCCGAGTCTCAGTTCCCTAACGTTACAGCACGGCCACAAAGGCTTGATTCAGCTTTCTAAAGCTGCCGCCAATCTTTGGCCACTTCGCTGTAAAAGCTCCCTTCCATCCTGCATGCATTCTTGTTTTATTGGAGAGCCAAGTTTGGGTGATCCTCGCCGCTAAAGGGCAGTCTGTTTAATGCATGACAGTACCAAACAACTCCCTGGCCACACTCTAAGGGCTTCCTGAATATCTGACACATGCCCTCAGCATGCACCGCAGACCGATTACTGACACTACTGAAACAGCATTAATTACCCAGAGCTCCATCTCAAGCGTCTACTTGGATGGTATCCAGCCTGCACCTCAGAGGACAGGACTGCAGCACAGCCCTGGCCAGTCAGGACACAGATTCCACTCCCAAACCATTGCCTGTCTTAGCTGGAAGCCACAGCAAAATGACAACAGCTGCCCTGGTCAGGCCATGGCCCAAGAGGCAGCAGGTGAGGGGCAGACTGTGAAGACACTGGGACATTACACACTGCTCTCCCGCCTGGGGCAAGCTGCCTTGTGTGACCTCTGCGCCAGGGCCCTGTGTTAGCCATCCCAAAGACTGGGGGACTAAAACACCCCATCCTGCAGAAAAATGAGCAGCTTTTCTTATTTCCTCGTTCATCAAACAACAAAAAGCACTTACTGTGTGCCGGGAATAATGCTGGGTGCCTTCGGGAGGTTTAGTGTAGTGGGTGGGAGACACAAGTGTACTAGAAGCGGATAAAGCAACAGTGGAGGGGCCGGGGGGCTGGACCCGCTGCCTGTGGTGAGGGAAGGTGCTTGGGTTGGGCTGGAATACAGGGTCCGGGGGAATAAGGTTCAGCCACAGGCAGCCGAGGCCAGACCACACAGCTGCCTTGGTAGCCCCACTACAGAGTTTAAGTTTTTTCATAGGCAACAACAGGGAATGACTAAAGTGTTTCTGGCACTCTGTGGCCATCTGGAGAAGTACAAGGACATTTTAGAGACCAGCTGGAGAATAGCCTCAACAGTCCAGGTTAGAGATGAGGGACTGAACCAAGACACGGCCACTGGGAGTGGAGAGGGGCTGGATTCTAGAAATAAGAGGTGAGAGAGGGAAAACTAGAATGGCTCCCAGGTTTCTAGCTTCCAATTGGTGATGTCACTCCTTGAGCCAGGAGTGGTATTTGAGGTGCCTGCACAGTGGGGTGCCGGCCCCCGGAGCCACACTGGGCACACAGCAGACACATGTGGTATGGAGATACTCAGTGGGTCAGAGCATGGCGTTGGGGTGATCAAGCGTCAGGAGAGAAGCCAACAGGAGAAAGAAAAATACCCTCCTGGGCACATGGGAGCGTAGGGACCATTAGCAAAGCCGTGGACAGGAAGGCTGCGCTCCCAGAGCTGGGGGCTGACCCCCCAAGGCCTCTCATGGGAAAACGGCACTCGGCTGTTCAAAGGCTCCAGCACAGAGAGATGTAACGGACAGAGACGTGCTTTAGGGACTTGACCCTCTAACTCCTTCCCTAACCATCATAAAGCAGGAAGACACATCTTCACTGACTTTTCCTGGTCTGCCCACGGCAAGACATGAATTCCATTTTGGACTCCATATGGAACGTCCATGTGATCTCAGCCTCCATTCCATCTCTGAAAAACACTTCTTGCCTCCTCTGTATGTCACATAGCTGTTAGCATAACGTATTCAGAAATGTCACAGCAGAGCAGGGACCCCGGGCAGTTCCCACACACGCCCGCCTTGGCTCCTTACTAGCAAGATGAAGGCTGGGTTAAAAAACTCTCTCTCCTGGAAGTGACATTAGTTTAGAACAGAATCCTCTGCCTGGTAAGAATATAACTGGTACTTCACAGTAGAAAAGAGTCAGGCTTGTGGGAAAAAAGATGAAGAACTGCCCAATCCTGGACATCCCTCTGTGCAGGCGTGTGCCGTCACCCAGCTCTCAGCCCGGGGGAGGTGGGTACCACGCCCTCTCCTTTCCATAAGCCGGATGCTCTGCACCCAGCACCTCACAAGCTGGGACCCGCGCTGCTCTCCAGTGCAAGGCGCAGATTTGGTATAATCTTTTGAGGTCACCACAAGACTAAAAACTCTCCTGTAAATCCCTTAAAGAATAACTTTAAATTCTTATACTGCATTTCCTAGAAATAATTCTTAATCACGAGGGCGAGTTCCACTACTGTGAAGGTATGATGACGACCAGTCTATTTCAGTGAGATCCTTCAATTCAAAGAATGTTCAAACGCAAGATGCAATTAGGCTCAGATTCAAGCCTGAATTTATCCAAGATACTTCCTTCTAACTCTTAATTTAGCTACAATTTTAACCTAGAAAGCAAAACCTAAAAATAGCTTTTTGTATATGCCACTCACTGCCAGAAAACATTACCTTTCTTAGGAAAATTTAGAAAATACTGCAGCTGTTATTCAGACAATGCCAGGGAGCAGGTACTCTTAACTTTTACCTGCAAACCAACCAAGGAAAGGGGAGGTAAGTAAGAGTGAATGCTCAGCAGAGATGCTGGGAGGCCAATACACAAAAAACACGCAGCTCTGGGTTTCAGTCAGTCTCTCCCTGTGCACTCTCGCCAGGTCCACGGCTCAAACTACATCAAATGTTACAACAGACGGCAAGATTCCACGGCATCATTAGTGCTCTTCAAAAGAGACACACACGCTCTAGTTTACAAACTAGAGGTACAAACCTTTATTTCACAACTTTGTCATAATTCACTTCTATAAGACATGTACTGGGGACATAGTTTATAACACTTGGAAAGCTAGCTGTTGGGTGTCTTCAGGCGGGAGCAAAGATGTGGTCACTCCAGGGCCGACGCGCTCCTGGGCTTCAGGCAGCACAGACCAGACGCCCAGTATCGTCCCAGCCCAGTGTTACTTAGAGCCACCTCCTTTTTTGGGGCCGTTAGTCCTCATTTCGTGCCAGATTTTCACTAAAGGCTCCCTGTTCTTCCAAATGAGTTCATGACCATAAGTGATATACCATCTGGGGAAAAGAAAAACAAACCAGGTCCGACATTCAAACAGTATGACATACAAATGCTAAGTACCATGATATCAAGTTGACATTTTAAAAATTGAATGCCACTGTCATTTACTATCTAGCTTATTAAAATAACTGATGAATTTATTTAATGTAGATCATTGACTTACCTTTAATATACAGAGTACATAAAAGATGGAAGCAGGATGGAACCTGTGTGACTGCCCTGAAGCGTGTAAGCGCCACACACACACACACACACCCCCCAAGTTAAGCATCCCTTTTCCCATTTACAGACACAAGGAACCAAGTCAGGGAGAAAGTCACTTGTGCAATGTGCTAACAGCTTCTAAGCGGTCGATCAAGGACTCACCTGCAGGTCAAAATGATTCTAAACCAGGACTCTCTTTATTATGTCAAGTGTAAGAAATGTCAGAATTAGACTTTACTAATGATGGCTATAGGAGTTTAAATGCTTCTTGTCATCTTCCGCCTGGCTACACAAAAGGGGGTCTGCTGATCCTAATTCCCACCTTTTAAAATAAAGCTCTAACCCCCATGCTCCTGTTAAAAACTGCCTAAAAGCAGCCAGAAGCAATAAGCTGAGGAAGCTGAAGCACTGAGAGGTTCAGGAACTTAACTTGCTCAGGCTGCACAACTAGGAGTCACCAAAACTGAGACTGGAACCCAAATCTGACTCCAAAACCGTGCTCTAACCAGTGTACTGCTCTGCAGCATCTAGGGAGCATCTACTATAAGCTGAGGAACACAATGAGTGACAAATGAGAAGGGCCTGGCTTTGAGAAGCCCACAGGCCCAGGGACTGCAAGACCAGGCAGCCACCGGAGGGCAGCACAGGCTGCAAATGCAACTCAGGGTCACCTACCTCCCTTCCTGGGCAGGGGGAAAGCTGGGAGGGCTTCCTGGAAGAGGTGGAGTTGACCTGGAATGGCTGTTAATGAAAGCTTTTATTGTTGAAACCTTTATTATTGCCCTGGTTTCCCCAAACAGATTTCATGTTCCCTGAGACAGAGACCAGATTTTGTTGATCTTTGCATCTCCCAGACACCTGACTGAAAAATGCTCTGACTTAGATTGGTATCAGCACTTTATGGGCCAGCCTGGTGGCACAGCAGTTAAGTTCACACATTCCACCTGGGCAGCCAGGGGTTCACCAGTTCGGATCCCGGCATGGACCTACGCACCACTTGGCAAGCCATGCTGTGGCAGCCGTCCCACATATAAAGTAGAGGAAGATGGGCATGGACGTTAGCTCAGGGCCAATCTTCCTCAGCAAAAAGAGGAGGATTGGCAGTGCATGTTAACTCAGGACTAATCTTCCTCAAAAAAA